TGATCGTGCATTGACGCATAAGCACAAGGGCAGGGGGGGGGGGGGGGGGGGGGGGGGCTGCTATAATTTTGTTATACCCTGTACATGAAGATAATCGCTAGACTACAAAATGATGCAAGACTGGACAGTCATATTTCACTGAAAAAAAGAAAATTTGAAAAATAGCTATTTTTCTTACGATAGATTTTATACAAGTCTGTACCGGCCTGTAGAACATTATTTTCTGTATCTTCCAATATATTCGATAAAATAATGTAGAACGTAATAGTCAAAAGTTACAGAAAATTTCTAAGCATATATTCTGATTTTAATGCACTACCAATGCCTTTATAAAAGCGAAAAATAGTCAAATATTTCATATAAAAAGTTTATGCCCACTTCTTGTTTTAACATTTTTTTCTTGACTCAATAAACAAACAAACAATCTCGAACTATTTTATCGAAATATTTCATATTAAATATTTATGTATATGATAATTAATTACTTTATTTAATGATTGTTCATTATTTCCAAATGTTACTTGTTTAGGCATTGTAGATGTGTCTATCTTTCCTTTTGCATGACCATCATTTGTTCTTGATTGTTCCTGCATTGGTGATGATACAGATATACCAAGTACAGCTCGAATAAGAATTAAAGCTAAATCATATCTATATCTACCGATATAATTTTGTAATTGTATATTAACAGGTATTGGTTCAACTACCATAACATCAGTTGCTGTTGCAGCATAAATTCTTTCAGTTCGAGCATCCATCCATAAACGACATTTTCCGTTTGCTGTGGAACCTTTATGTGAAATTTGTTGAACAGGTACTGCTTGTGAACCATTAAATGTACAAACATCAATTGATTGATTCATTAATGCTAATACATATGGACTTGCTTGTACAATAGCGGATGGAACATCTTTCCATGTGATACCATTTTCATATAATGGTTCAAAATTAGAATTCAAAAATACAGTATTTGATTCCATTTGTATACACCATTGTGTTCGATCTTGAAGACAATTAATAACTGGTTCATGTGCCATTGTAAATGTTAATTCATTAATAATCATACCAGTTGTAAGACTCATAATAACATAGGATTTTCTATAACCAATACAGATTTTTTCACGTGATAATGCTAAGGCACGTGGAGTATCAATCAAATCAAAAGCACCACGTAAATCTTTATTCTCTTTAAAAGATTTTTGTTGAGGAAACCAACTATAGAAAACAAGTGAACGACGTCTTGTTGCAGCACATAATTGAAGTTCGGTTGGAATTGATATTGAAGCATTTGATGTTAATGATGAAGATGTAGATTGATTTGATCCAATGTCATACCTAATGAAATGATAGTTTTTAATAAAACCTTCGATCGACATGAAATAAATTTGTAAATGAACAATTAAAATCATACTGTAATGGAGTCAAAAAATTATATAAATATTATTTCCTTGAGTTGAGAATGGGCAACGAAGATTGCATGAGAATCCGAAATTGATCCTGAGTCTAATATCTCAGAAAATAAAAATGAACATATCACTACAACTTCAGTGCTAGTAGAGCACAATATAGACGACAAAAATATGCATAATTTATCGAGACGGTGACTGTAGCTATTTTTCCAGTCAAACCAAATAGCATATTTGGAATCACCATAAGCGACTCAGATGATCTATGTGTTTCAAATTATTCAAACAAATTTTATTTTTGTCGAAAAACTCACCCTCGATCTTCCCCTCACAGCTTAACAAAAAAGAATGAAGCCATTGCTAATCCGTATTCTTCTGCCTTTTGTGTGCTCTATTGCCATTCTACAAGATTGGAACTTGTTTTCAACTGTTCCAATAGGATTTTGACTGAACCCTAGGTAGGACCATGGATGAATTTTCCAATGAAAATAAAAATTTCCAAACAATTTGAAACACATAAAGGTAAACTCAGTTGTTATAGTTGATTCTAAGCAAGGTATATGTTTTGAATGAAAAATATGTATTCTACTAGCAGTGAAGTTTTGGCAATAGATTTGTTTTTACTTTCTGAGATATTAGGATCTGAAGATCGATTAGTGCCTTAAAACGCATCGATTAGGATCGCTCAAGCATTCTACACGGTCCATTCTCGACTTGGCGAAATATCATATGTAAAGTCTTGTGATTCAATTACAAAGAAAACGTCTGCTCTCTTACCTGACAACAAGAAATGCTATGATGGTGATCAAGCTTCTCTTGTCATTCTGGATAAAACTATTGTAAAATTTGCAATTCACAATGAAAAATTTATTAGTCTTGCTCTTCAATCTATTGAAAAATAATTTATCAGTACAGATCAGAGGTCCAAACAAATCTGCATTATAGTGGACCTGTATACTTTCTGTGCATACTGATATTATGATGATAATTCAATGAAAGAAAACTATTTCTATAAGAAGACAACGAAGTCAACAGAAAAAAATTACCTTGCAACAAAGCTGTGTTTTTGACGAAAAGCGTTTTCAATGCATTTAAAAAATTAGCTGGAGAAAATATATCAATAAGCGAATTAAAATTAGAAAAGAAATCATATTAATTCATAATAGTAACTGGCTAGAAAGTACGAAAAGTAACTTACTGAAATGGATAATGATATAAACAACGTATTCACAATTCATTATTAGGCATGATTATATCCAGCTTGAATGATCAAAAAGCAAATATTTCTCAATCCGTCTAGAGGTAAAAATTTCTCTACTGTATATGAAACTTAACAGACAGATAGTTCGTCTGATTTGGGACAAACACAAAAATCAAGCCCCGTGCCTGTTTAGACCTCTGATAGAAATCATAAGAAGATATTTTCCCTTAGTTGAACAATATCATCAAAACCAATTGGCATCAATGTTCATATAACTCTAATACTTATAACTTTTATTCTTTATAAAAATGGCTTACCAAGTGGAAAATAAAGTAAAATTACCAGCTGATAGAGTAGTGATTTCAACAAGTGAATCAATATCAAGTAAACTAATAATTCCATCACTTAATAATAAAGCTATTTTTAATATTGGTATTGTTTCAAGTTGTGTAACACTTTTTTTTGCTAATCTAATTACTTTAACTAATCGTATAGATGCTGTTACTGATGCTGTTGTTGATGGAATTTCATATGATACTAATAACATGCCTTGTCTTTCTTGATTACTTCTTCCACATATCAATACAATATCACCATTTGATGCAAATAATTCAGCAGTTAATTTAAAATCACGTATAACTGGACGCATTTGAAATGCTTGAAAATCATCTTGAGCATCACCAGTTGTAATATTTGGTGGTGATGATATAGTTGTCATTGTTGATGTACGAGTTGTTTTCGCTGGAGAAGACATCTAAATTAATTAAAAAATAAATTCTTTTTTTTTCTATATTTGATTTAAATAATGAAATATTTTCTTTATTAAAATTAAAATAAAAAAACAAACGATAAATATTTATTTTATTGTATGGAATCATTAAGACATGCTTGATGTATAATATCAAAAAAATGATCATTATTTTGAACTAAATGAAGAAGAACATTACGAAAATGTTCAACATTTATTGATGATACGGATTCAAAGGCAGATGGTGGAATAAAATTTATTGGATTTTTTTCTGCTAAAGAACTTGATCCATTATGTAAATCATTTTCACGTGAAATATTAAGCAAACGTTTGAGCGATAATGTAGGATCTTCAGTATTATTACTATTTGTTGTTGGAGTTGATTGTTGTTGAGTTAATGTTTGTCGAGAAGATCTAATTTGAGATGCAGTTGAATTGGATACCTAAGAAAGAATTACATTATTTTAATATTATTAACAAATAAAAGATATCGTTAGTTTTACTTGAGTGGGTGTTTGTTGTTGATACAAATTTTCCGATACTAACTGTTCATTTTTTTCTGTAGCTTGAAGATCATTGGTAGTAATTAGAGGAGATTGTTGATGTTTAAAGTTTCGTATTGATTGAATAAATTGCGTAATAAATACACTTAATCGTTGACATTCATTTTCATTCACAAAATATAAACAAAATACTTCACATTTATCATTTATTACAATTTCATAAAATAAACGTAATTTATCAGCATAGTGTGACATATCTGAAGTAATTTCTTGTATAAATTTTTGTTTTTCATTAATAATAGCAAATGCATACGATGGATATATTTGATTGTTTATGATAGATTTCCTTTCATAAATAAATAAATTTCCTTCAATATATGAATTATTTTCCCAACGAAATTCATTTGAATTATAAAAAAAAATTTTCACATGATTTATAAAATCATATAAACGTATGGCATGCGAATCATGTTTAAGAAGAATTTTACTAAGTTCAAGATGAATTTGTGAAGATGAAATGGAATTAATATTCGTGTTGATTGATGATGAAGAATTCGGATTAAGAATTGATGTATACATGGATAAAATTACTTTTTAAATAGAAAATAGATAATTGTTTATTGTCTAATGTGAATAAATAAATAAAAAAATATATAAAATTACTTAGGAAAGAAAATATCAAGTAAAATTCATAAAAAAAGACTCTTTGTTTCGTTTTATACTGGCATCTTTTTTTATTGAACTAAGAGAAAAACCAACCAACAAGTGTTATTTTCATAGATGTCGCGAACAATTGCACTATTCTTTGAATACTCAAGTTAGTTTGTTATGCGTAAAAGGTAAATATTTGTTATCTCACTGGAAAAACATTGCATGAATTTCTTATTAATGAGTCACTCATTGATAAACAAAATCAGGCATGTGACGAAGGAAAAACAACAAGTGAGAACTAGTGCATCATACAATATGTTTTTGCAAGTCGGGAGATGTCGAAATGTTGTTTTTTCTCATTCAATAACGTTGTTTCTTTTGATTAAAAACAGTGATTTTTACTGGGAAAAAAAAACGAAAAATTTCTCTAAGTTGAGTTGTTGCGCACTCCGCGATCATTACATCTTTGAAGAAAAAAAAATCATTCTCAAGTACTCAAATACTTATATACGTATTTTGACACAAAGCAAAATTCATATGAACTACTGTGAAAATATCTTCATGTTATCTTGTTGACCTTCGCAAGTCACATGACTGATATAATTTCATTAATACACAGTAAAGTACTTTCAAAGAAAATTAATGGTTTTTAGATATTAGTAGAAATGTCAGCTTTTCATTTGAAAACGCCGTATGAGTGTACGCTTTACAATTATTTTTCAAAATCCCAAATGATTTGATTTAGACATAGTTGTGACAGATCTGTGAAGCATGGAATAGAACAATGATATCTATTCACATTAACTGTCGAATGAGTGATTAACATGTAAAAGTATGTTTTTAGAACATGAATTCTTCATTATAGTTGCTGATAAATTTAAAGCAATTTCAATAATAACTTTGCAGTAAATAAAATCTAAAAATTTATCTTTTTCAATCCGAAGTGATTTTGTATATGTTGTCATGCATAGAGAAAACTATCAGTTACAAATAACGTTAGATTAAATTATAGAATAAGCAGATTTTTCGAAAAAGCGAGATAGCACCAAGAAGAACTACCTTTGAAATAAAAGGAAATGTCAATTGGACAGAGACAACATCAACATCATTTTCATTTAGAGAAATCATTTTTGTTATAAACATAGATAACAGTTGATATCATTGCACAGTTAAAGGTGTTAGCCGGTCCTTTTATCGGCGGCGGCGGCGGCGAAATCCTTCGTATATCATTTCCAAGTCTTCTCGTGGACCCCTACTAGTGAGGCAAATATTAGATGTTCCGTTCTCTCAAAAATATAACGCTGTATACATCTTGCAACGTGGATCGCTTCTTCTCTAAAACAATTCTTCACTATAATTCAGTTTATTTTCATCAAGTATGTAAGTTCAATATCTAAGGTACAATAAGTTAAAGAAAAATAATAATAACGCAGGATATAAGCAGAAAGAACAATAATATCGTTTAAATCTACTTGAACATAGAGTAGTTATCGTGAATAAATTGTATTTTTCCTACAGTTTTCGGTGCAAGCAGGGTTCGTTTGGCAGATAATATTAAACCAGCAGTCGAAAATAGCTTTTCAGATGGTGTCGAAGTAGCTGGAACAGCCAGAACTATTCGAGCGAGTTATGCCAAGTGTGGATACGAATTTTTTTGAATTCTTCCACCATAATAGAATATCGTCACACACAACGTTGACTTGTAAGTAGACTTTGATTTCACTCGTTAATTCAGAATATTGGACAGTTGACTCGTTGTGCAATTCAATTAGATTTGTTTTTAACTTCTTTAAATCAATGGTTTGTTTGTCAAGGGATTCGACTGAAAGTCGACGTTTATGAGCATTATATGTTGATGATACACAAGCATTGGGCGACGCTAAAGTAGAAGAATCATTTGTCATCACCTTTTTGTTAGGAGACATTGCTAGAACTTGATTATTATTCAATTTGAATCGTCCAATCATCGACTGAAGCAACTTCTCTTTGGACTTTCCAATAGTTTGGACATAACTATCTATATCAATTTTCGAGAGAGACGGGTCTAATACGAAAGCTGTACACGTTAGTTCAGCAACGGGTAATCATTTGTTGATATTTTCTTGAACGAGCATCTTTAACTTGATCATGAACTCATTGTCACCATCATCGGATTGAGATATCCGTTCGATCTCTTTGCGAAGAAGAAGATAAAGACATAGCGTTGGATATGCTTTTGAGGCAGACAAAATCTTTGTAGCACTCTCGAACGCCGAGAGATAGATTACGAAAACTTTGAGCAATTCTAACTCATCGAACGATGGAAGCATATCGGAACTATTCATTCGGATGAGAATAGTTTCAATTCCGTCGATATTAGGCAAGAATGATCGAAGATGATAAGAATCGTATTCCAACGTGTGGGTACTCGTTTTTTCAAATGTGTAAAATTGTTTTGATTCAATCGAACAATTTATTAGATGTTCTTCACATGCGATCGTCGTTGTCAGACGCAATGCGATCGATGTATTGTCATCGTCTTCTTCATCAAGTTCAGTCCGAGACGATATATCAGCATCCAATAATTCAGATACTGTAAGAATGTCTTCAATCATAGCAGCATTTGAGTCAGTGCTCGATGATAAAAATGCATCACGTAGTTCATTTTCACGATATCTCAGTTTGGAGATGATTGTTTGAACTTTATCCAGCAATTCTGACAGTCCATCGATCTTGGGAATAACATCGACCATAAGTAAATTGTGTAGACCGTGGGCAGCACGTGATAAATGCATAACATGTACGAGACGCCAAGCTTTTTGTACGTTCGAACCTTTATCTGATGCAATAATAATTTTCCCACTATTCAAGCCGAAATCGTCGCAGACTTTGATCAAACGTTGCTTAATCGCTTCAGCCGTATGCGGATGATCGAATGGTTCATTTAGAAGAGTATAAGAATGTGAAATAAATAAGGAATCAACGAAGCGAAGAGTGAAGCAAATACAAGAGCGATGCCTATATTTGTCTGTCCACATATCGCATGTCATACCTGGAAAATACGGTGCTTCTTTCAATTCTTCATTGAGACGATCCATGTATGCATTATATAATTGGTTTAAATGAAAAGGATTGAGTGTTGCGCGAGAACGAATATCGTCGACAGTGTTAACAATATTATAAGCCATCAAAAAATCTTGGAACCCTTCATTAGATACAATAGAAAATGGCAGGAGATCGCAACAACACATTAATGTTAAATCAGAAGCAAGACGTTCTTTTCGATCTTTGTTCGATTTCGTTGTTGCATATGTTGACGGCTTGAAGAAGTTCGAAATATGCTCAGGAGTAACGTTCATTTGTTCTTTGCTAACGATTACATGTTTTGTAGAAAGATGTAAAAGCATATTTCCAGTACTAACGTTCTCGGTGTAATGAGTAAGTTGTTTCTGTATCGTTAATGATGACAATGGATCATCAGGATGCTCATCGAATTGTTTGTCAAAGCAAAGCTTGCAATATATAGTATTGTAATCGATCGCTGTCTTCGTTTTTAATAATGTCAGTTGACCAAAGTATGACCATGCAAGAGATTGACCAGGTTTGAAGGAACGGACTGCAATGTAAACATCTCGAACAAGATGCGTCATCCTAGCAGAGTAACTTGTTTTGATTCAGATGCCAGATATAATACAATCTTAGCAACAATATCAGTTAAATGAATGAATGAATGTGAAATGCGAACACAACTATTTGTATGTTTCAGACCTTTTCCTTCTGTCGCCTAATTGGTTATTTAGAAAAGAAAAAAATTTAAACTATACATTCTAATTCAATCGACGGCGGCGGCTGCGAAAAATTCCTCGCCGCCACGCCCTCTTCGGCGGCGGCTAACACCTCTATGGACAGTTAACAAAATCAATTTAACTTTATTCCAGAAGATGACTCTACCAGCACTACAAAGAGTAGCAATTGTTTCGTCGAATTTTCCATGCCTCTTGCTTATGCTACAGTAAGATAGCTAAATCTAACATGTATACATATTTAATACGGCTCTGTAGTGCATAGAAGAAGATTAACCCGTAGTCCCATGGTATTTGCTTATTGTCATCCTAATGAATAAACTTCTCGTCATATATATCCGAAATTCAATGATTTAATCTTTTTTGCTGTTTATTATGAATAAAAGTGAGCTTGGTATTCAGGATTTGTAGTTTTTGTTTTCTTTTTAAAAAATCTACAATTTAGATTTTTAAATCTATAATCAAAATGTTTGAAAAAAAACTCGAGAGAAAATCAACTAGCTACTGACAACAAATGATAAATTTCATGAGAACAATAATTGTTTAATTTTCAGACAGCCTTTTACATCAGTATCAAGGCAAGAGAGCACAATAGTCAGTCAATGGAAAGTAATAGTAAACAAAAAACAATTTGAGTTTTTCCTAAATTGTTTTGAGCAAATGCTTTTTCGGTAAAAAGTGTTATATTAATTTGAAGTTCGTAATGCACTGTTAGGTGATGGAATACTCAAACTTCCATGTGTTATACTTTTGAGTAAAATTAAATTTAAGTGACAAAGATTTTGCCGCTGAAATGTCTATTATTTGTAGAGAGAAGATAAAATAGACTTATTCAAAATTTTATTTTTGTCCCCTAAAAAACTTGATCTTGTATCACACATGATTGTAATAATTGCTGAAATATTTACGGATTCATTTAAGTTGAGAAATATCTTGCTTATTTTTGAACATATACATTTAAACTTTGAAAAAGTTTAATTCTGTTGGGAATGTAATCCTCGTTTAGACTTCACAATTTCTGAAACTCTCCAAGACTCTTTCGAATTCAGTATAAACAAAATTCTGGAAAAATTATCAATGAATAGTTTCATGGTCATATCATTAACGAAATCTCCAGCCGTCACGAACTAATGATTATGATAAAAGATAAAAGTGTCTTTTAAAATCAGTTTTATGAAAAAGTACACGTACCAATGTGATCATGTATGTTACAAACAGTTGACAAATATGGGTAAGATCTTTTTGAAGAAAAAAAAAAGAACTAATAAATGGGAATATTTTGTAAAACTTACTGTGTCGAAATAAAAAATTTCATGCACAGAATTAAGGTTATATCTCATTCATTTGGACACGACCAATGAAAACAACTTATATTTGTTGTTTTAGAAAACAGTTCTCATTTTGTAAAACTAAATATAAATTTCAACCTATTAACAAGTGTTGCTTAAATTCTCAGATACAAAATTTTCATGAAATTGTGATAGTTGGATATAGTGTCCTTATCGTCGATAGTTATTACTTTTATGAAGAAGTTTTTCAAAGGTTATTACGATTATTAACTCCATTAAATAAATTAAAATAGACGAATATATTTTAAAATCTTGAAAATCTTAAAAAATTGTTCTTAAAGAAAAATCGACATTGTTTTATGTAAATTATTACTATATTAGATTCAACATAAAAACAAACTAATTAAAAAAGATGTCTTGAAATCAAGTTTATTATACCTTACAAGAGCATGTTTATTTATTAGTTAATCAACAACATCAAATGAAAAAAAGGGAATTATTATGTAACTAGGAAATGTGATGTAAACAATGTAAATTTGAAAAATATAAACTGATTATGAATTGAGTTAGCATAAAATGATGCGAACTGGGAGGTTTGACATTGTGTAGATTTTGGTGACCACCAATTCGCTGGAACATAATCAATATTTTTTTATCCGAATAAAATACGTTGAGGTTTATTCAAAAGAATTGTTATTAGATGATTAATGACTTAAGTAGAGTTTCAATATTCTTTGATAGTCAATATTGAATTTTTATTCCAAATAACACGTGAAGTTACGATAAATCAAAACAAATATTTCATCTAGATGTTTTATACTAATTTTTCATTTTTATAAGACTAAACAATGTATAAACTTTAAACGCATATGTCAATGGGTATTTATTTGTAACTATTTTTTGACAATCATTTTGTCGGGAAGGAGAAGTGATTTGTACTCGAGCGGGTAATTTAGCCATTAATGAAGAACATCTTTGTTTTATATGTGATTCGCATTGATTTAGATATTTATTTGGACTATTGATGAACTGTTGATTAATGCTTGTTAAACGGAAGTTACACCTCACTTGTGTAACAAAAGGCAGGTTTCTAGAGCAATTTGTTGTAAATGAAGCATATGAAATGATCGAGAGCGGTTTCAGATTGATGACAAATGTGGCTAGAGGAAAAATCTTATTGTTGTACAAATGTTATCTAAACAAACAGAACAGTATAATCATTATTCGCATCAATACTTTGTTCTACATGAAATTTCATTGATTTTCGTTTTTAGTTACAAAATAAATATCGACTTATTTTTTAGTAGATTTATGCACTGTTGATAATTCACTTGAGTTTTTCTCGAAAAGGATGGAATGTAAACAGATAACATATTTAACCGCCGAACTTGTTCCTTTTGTTTTTATTTTTCTCCTAAGTATAAATGGATAAAAGCTATTTCTGGTAAATTATACAGTATTTTCTTCAACATGTATGATTGTTGTTTAGCTATCAAATTTCATGAGGAAGTTACATTTTGATTGGATTAAAAATTAGCTTCTCATGTATTTATCCCTTTTACTTTTATCAATATTTCATTTTTTTTTGCTGACATTGATTGTTAAGAGAACAACATGTATAGAGACAATATATAATGTAATTTGAATGTTCAACAAGCTACCTTTTGTTTTCTCTTCTTTTGTTTTATTTTCTAGCACTCAGCAATCTTACAAATAATCTGTTGTATATTACTATCGAAAATCTTTTGTGTAATGTATTCAGATATGCCATAAGCCATGATGGAACCATTTGATCCTCATGTATAATAATCGCAAAGTCTAACCCATTTGTCCGTCATATCAGCAAAGATCATTATATTTAGCTATCACATTGAAAGGTGCAAAAACCGTAGAACAATGAACAATGAACAATGAACATATAACAGCACAAAGGCGTAGAAAGTTCTTGATGATGTAATCTTGACTGATTACAATAAGTGTGAATTACTTCGTCTTGAAGTTCAATTCGTTAGAATCGTCGGTCTCTACAATAGTAGTGGAATAAAACTGGAAGTTTTAGAGGATCGCTTAGATCGATTAACACAATAAGTAATCTTGTTGAAATTTCTAAGGTTTGATAAAATCAATCATGATTGTTGATTTTATTTTATTTAGAAGTATTACCCTTACAAATTTAACTCAGTACTTCACTTTTCTAAAATCTGTAGGTTGAAAAAAAATAAAGGAAACGTTTTATTCAAGATAAGTATTTGAGTCAGTAGATGGAGCTTATGAAGTCTTTGAACGTCGATCAAGTTTCTCTAAACGTTCTAATTTAACTTGAGCATTCGCTAATAATGGTGGTTTGTAATCAGAAAAATCAATATTCATTGTAAATTGACTTCTCAAATTGATCTTTTTATCAAGTAATTCTTCAGTAGTTGGTTGATCAGTCCATTTAATCAATGGATGATATGCAATGGATTCAAATGTATCATTTGATGACATCAGTTTTTCTTCAGCAACAAGTAATGAACCACGTCGTGGTAATGTTACTTCAAGTTTGACTGGCTTTATATCAGTAGCTGGCTAAAAATTAATATATAAATGATTTTTATATTTGTTATTAAATAATCTATGTACCGTTTCGACATTTTTGCTTTTCTTTGTGTTATTAGCTGGCTTTCGACGAGTTTTTGATTGTTGATTACCTTTTTTGTTTCCTTTTTGTTCATATATCGTTCGAATAGTATCGAACACTTGTGGTGAAGCAAAGTCAGCAGCCAAATCGAGTAAATTACGTTCTATACAAAATACACCATAAAATTTATGCTCGATTTTTTTAAAATCAAATAATATACATACGTGTAACATTTTCATGTCGAACATTGGCATTTTTTTGAATAAGATAATTTACAATATCAAGTGATGAATTTTCAATAGCACGACTTAGTGGTGTAGCTAATGTTAATGATTCATGATTAATCTTAGCGCCAGCATCGACAAGAGCACGAACAACACATAATTGACCTGAATTAGCAGCATGATGAAGTGCTGTCCATTTAAAATGATCTTCGAGATGTACATTTGCACTATGCATATTACTTTAGGAATCGGAACATTTTGATTTTTGTATATTTCTTACCCACATTGAAGAAGAAATTTTGTTGTTTCTAAATCACCATTTGCAGCAGCGATCATCAATGGCGTTTTATAAAATTTATCTCGAATGTCTACAGGTACTCCTTAAATTAGAACAAAACAAAAAACATTACACTCAAAAGAAAAGAAAATATTCTATAATACCTGATTTGAATGCATCAAGAAGTGTATGTAGATCACCTCGATAAACTATTAAATATAATATAAAATATAAAATCAATATGAAAGATAAACTATCGCCTACCAGCATTATTAATATGTACAAATTGAGGATCAATTTTGTCAATATAATATACTGAATCATCATTAATGATATGTTTCGGAGTTTGATCACGATTAAATCGATTTTGATCGGTAATAAATTGATGTTTTTTTATGTAAACTAAAGGTGGATTGCCATGTGATGTTCGAGGTCCTTCATTATGTATTGCTATTGGTATTGCTAATTGTTTTTTTATTTTTTTCATTTTTTTATTTTTATTTTTATTTGTTTTTTGAAGAAATGCTTGCTTAAGAAATGGTTTTTCAATAAATAATTTTCCAGATAAAAATGTTTGATAATCAATTTCATTTGGATTTGTTTCATGTTGAATAATAAGATCATGAAGATCATCCAATGTTATTTGAGTAAAACCTTCTTCTTGAATAATTTGTTTTAAATCATTTGGTGTAATTCGATGTGTACTAATATTTTCTATTCGATGAAATCGACGTAAAAGCCTATCATATCGTTCTTGTAACCAATCATAAAAATGAATTTTATAATCACGATCTGGATTTGACTTAGGTGAAATTATTTTTCGATTATATTGGTTTTTTTCAACTAAACGAATATTCTTTTTAGCATCTTTATTTTTCGATATCATTGCAATTTTAATTGGTAATTGATTATCAACATTTTTAGTTTTAGTTGTACCACCACGTTGAACCATAAATTTAATTGCTTTACCTTGATTTAACATAGCAGCTAAATGAACTGGTGTATTTAATGATTCATCAGCAAGATCAAAACGAGCATTATAAGCCGAAAGAATGGGTAAAAGCTAAATATATCGATAGTTTTATGTTCAATGTTTTTACTCAAGATATACTTATCATTTCCGATGAACTTAATTTACCTCGAATACTTTAGATGTTATAGCAGCGTGAGCAGGTGTTCGTTGATGAATATCTCGAGCATTTACATTAGCATTTCGTTGCAAAAGTTCACGTACTACTTTTACTGCACCAGAAGCACAAGCAGCATGTAAAGCTGTTATGCCTGTTTCCTAGGATATTGATATAAAAATTAAATAATCTAATATTTTTTGACTTTATTTTGTTTTGTACTCTATCAGTAGCATTAGCATCAGCACCTCGTTCAAGTAACGTCAAACAAATTTTTTCCATGATTACTCCATTTTCACAAGCAGCTACTAATACTGGTTTACCCGTTGTTGTCATTCCATTGACATCGGGCGTTCGTTTAGACATAATGATAGAAAAACATTCTTGTTGTCGAAGTGTACCATCAGAGAGGCAAGCAAAGAGAATATCTGTATTAGAAACAAAAATATCATCAATATCACGAAAAGTTCATGATATTAATACCATTTCCATTAAGATCTCGTGTATTTGTTTTAGCATTTGCATTGAGTAACGTTTGTACAGCTTCGACAAAACCATGTTCAGCAGCACGCATTAAAGGTGTTCGACCCTGATAAAAAAAATCTTGTATTTAACAAATCAAGTGTTCTTCTATGCACACTAAAAGTCTCAAGGAGCCTAATCTTGAATAAAATATAAAATTTTCAAAAAATGTTGCGCATCTTCACTAAGATTTTTTTTGTACATCAACTACTGACACTCGAAATATGATTGTTCATTCATATGTTAAAAATTTATTCAATGCAATTAGATGAGTGACCCATGGGTGGATTAAGTTTTTTAGAAAAAAACCATGAACTGGATCAACTTTCTTCGGTTCAGCCTAGCTCATTGAGAGCTCTGATTCACACCTTGAAATCAGTTACATTGGAATTTGCACCAAGATCAAGAAGATATTGCATCATAATCTCATCATTTTTCTTCACAGCAACTAATAATGGTGTTTCACCTATGATGAATAACAAAATTATCGTAAAACTTGTTTAACTTTATATTCGATTACCATCAGTCGGATTATTATAATTAATAATTCCATCAACACCTTTTTCGCAAATAAGTCGTATTTCATCATAATTAGATGTTCGTACAGCATATAAAAGTTTTTTTATTTGTACCAATTCAACTGGAGTATGTGCTATGACCATAATCAGAATCAATAACAAGTGAACGCGCCAAATGATGTTTTCTTTTATTGCCACAAAATAGATATAATACGTTTCAATCTTGATAAAGTCAGTTTTTGCTTATGGTTTACGAGCATGACTTATAAATGACATTTTAAAATCATGCGCGTCAACTTTCCAACTAAGACGATTTTACGTACAGTAGATTTTTCATGTAAAAATATCTTTTATGATTTGAAAAATCACTTTACTTTGTTTTCAGATGATTTTATTAATTAAGCAGTAGCACGTAGTAAAGAATCACATCAAGACTCTAAAGTAATTGGTGTCACTGAGCAACAGCTACTTTTTAAATTTATAATTCAAAAATCAAAAAAAAAACATCCTTAGTCTCTTCGAGTTAATTATCGTATCCATTTTATCATTTTTTCGATCCAGTTTAGAGGTATTTGCATTAAAATTAATTGATCTCAACCTGTTAGCGCTAAGGATACTCCAATCCTCCTTTTTGGTCATTTCTAATTGTTGAAGAGACTATAACTGATCCCTATGAAATTTCTATTCCAAATAGAACACCTAAAGTAAGGAGATACATGTTGGAGGAAAACAATTTTACACAAGGTTTTACATAGGACCACAGATACTTGTACCCATTCTCCAGAGGTGAAGTCTGCCTTTTTCGTTTTTAACTTTCACACCTAGATTTATAGAGCTCTATATGCTGGCACTCCGATTTCGGATGCGAACCTTTATGTATTTCTCTCCAACAAAAACAAAGAAAGCGAAATTTATGAAAAATTGTAATATCATTCCTGAGATCCTCAAACCAATGCAAAATTGTTCGATTTTGAAAACTCCTGAGCTTTGAGTGTTCGAGATCTAGTCGTCGATAATCTATGTGTTAGCATTTATTGATTAGTTCTAATAGAATACCTCATATCTAAATAGCAGATTTTTTCTTCAATGATGCTAATATAGGTTCTTTTCTTGTACCATATTTTAGTTTATTTACACTATCAGTATTGATTTTTTCATTAACTAGATGAGTCAATAAAATCTGCAGCAACCGTTAATGCTTTCAAACTAGAAATATTTTCATGTGTAACTTTTGTATTTTTATTAACAAGATATTCACAAACAGGTTAGAATGAATTTTCTATAACATTTATTAATGGTGTTGCTTTTATTATTGATGCATTGGCGGCGGCTTCAACGTAAACTTGAATAACATGATGAATTGACTTTTGTTTGAAAAGAGAAAATTAAAGTAATATATTCATATTTTTCTTTGCAATTATCAACATTCTCGGTAGATATTAAATAATGTTCAAATCATTATCAGCATAAGCTATGATAAATGAAATATCTTATTAAGAATAACAACATAATCAATTCTTCTTATCTACTTACCATGAATAATGTATTCATAAATGGATCTGCTAAATCTACAGATATACTTCATTAAAATGCATCTAATAATGTTTATAAGTCACCATGATAAGTTATTAGAAAACAAATAGTAATAATAAGATTAAATGAAACAGTTTCATTATCAGTATCATATCAATTGATATAAGTTTTATTAGATTTATCTAAATATTATCAGGAATCATTTTCAAAAGAATTATTTGACACATTATCACATAAAAAATTGTGTATTATCAGTATAATGAATATTTTGTGGTGCACGAGTGTTTTTTTTTTGTGAATTGTCATTCTCTTTATTTAGTCTATTCAAATTTTGAATAACAATTAAAACAGATGAATTCATATCAATCCATTAATTCGTCACATAATATCAACTTAAATAATTAATCCATTTTTTTCGTTTCTAAGCTTTTGTTTTCTTCTTTTTTCTTGTATATGCAGCCATCAAATAAGGTTTTGCTAAATATTTTGTTCCAGTTAAAAATGCTCTATAATCAATTTCCTCTCGACTTTTATCATGTTTTTCATATAAATCTTTGATATTATATGGTTTAAGAAATGAAAGAAAATTTTCATTGTTAAGAATCTTTTTAAAATTATCTTTTAATATAATACCACTTTTTGGTTCAACTGTATCAAATTCTTCGAATAATTTTTCAATACGTTCGAAATTTTCATAAATATAATCATAAAGTATTATTCTCCAATCAAGAAATTCATCTAAAAAATATTTTTTTACAATTGAAATCAAAATAAATAATTAGACTTGTAGATTTACCTGCAGGTAAATTAGCAGTCATTTCATGATAGCCTTGTTCAGCTTTTCTCAAATTTCTGTGTACATCTCTATTTTTATATTCATGAGCAATTTGTTTTGGAATAAGTCCTTCGCGATTCGACTTCTTTGGATTACAACCTGAGAATAAAAAATTTATTTGAACAAGAAAAATTCAAAGTATTTCTAAACCTCGTTGGCCAAGAAATCGAATAGCAGTGCCAGCATTAGACATAACAGCATAATGAATTGGATTATTACCAAGAGTATCATATACATCAAATTTTGCACCAAAACCAGATAGAATTCGAATAACCTAAGAAAGAATTTATAGTGAAACGAACAATTGAGAAATATCTAATTACCTGAAAATGTCCACCTTTAGCTGCTTCATGTGCAGGTGTTGATCTTTTATCATCTAATGCATTCGGATCTGCTTGTGAATGTAAAAGTTCTCGTACAATTTTAGTACTTCCTGATAAACAAGCATTATGTAATGCTGTACGTTGTGTTTTCTATTGATAATCAGGAAAAGAAAATCTTTTTTTCTTTTTAATAAACAATAGTTTATTGTTTTTACTTCATCAATAAGTTGTACATCAGCTCCAGCTCGAATAAGAGCCATACAAAAATCTTGGGATTCTATAGAATCATTGCATATATATACTAAATTTGGCACACCATTGTGTGTCCGATTATTGACATTAGCGCCCATTTCAAGTAATATTTTTAAACATGTTTGATGACGTTCTGTTGCTTTAGTAAAACAATAGTAAACTGCATCTAAAAAATAAATATTATTATTTTTATTTGAAAATACTTGCTTCACCTTTTCCTTCAAAATCTTGAATTTTTGCATTAGCATCTGCTTCACGTAATAATTGTAAAATAGTAACATGACCATATTCAGCAGCATGCATAAGTGCTGTACGACCAGAAAAATCAATAACATCAGGATGAGCATCAAGTTGTAATAGGAATTTTATCATGTTTGTATTATTTTGTGTGACAGCAGCTCTAGATAAAGATCTATGAAAAATTTTTAAAAAGTTTAAAATCTTGGTGTTTACATCAATGCAGTCAGTCCATTTTCTGGGTCATTATAATTTATAAGATTTTTAACACCTTTTTCGGATAATTTTTGCACTAGTAAAATATCATCTGTCCGTACGGCATAAATTAATTTGTATATTTGTAATTGTTCAACACGATCTTGTGCTACTGGCATTATGATGAACTTGACAAGAGATGAAATATCAAAATATAGTAAAACATATAAGATTTATACTTTTCACATCTTCAGTACAAAATTAACTTCAAATTATTTAAATTAATATTTGCCTTTTGGATTCTTTTCTTTTGTTCTTCTTAATAAACATTAATATACACAGATAGAATGTTACCATATGCATATTTGTTGTCAAGAATATCGTTTTGGAAAATATGTTATCTTTTTATGAACAATTAAATGACTAATGCAGTGTCGCTACTAATCAGTCAATGAAACATATACGGAGGAGAGCATTATCAAATCAGTTTCATATAAAAGAAAAGAATTAAATATTCATTCCTACAACTTTCATCAACAATTGTGTTGATTTTTCTTAAAATATTTTTATTGTGCTAAAATACAAATTGTAGATTTTTTAAATCAATATCATCTTCATCATTTTCATTCATGGTGTCTCAGGTTAGATTTTATACGTGTTATGAATAATCTTATATATATATATATCTTCAGGTTGAAGAATTGAAATCTAAAGCAAATGCTGCTTTTTCAGCTGGGAAAAATGATGATGCAATCAATTTGTATACTCAAGCTATAGAACTCGATGAAAAAAACCATATACTCTATAGTAATCGTTCAGCTGCTTATGCTAAAGCAAATAAATATGAAGATGCATTAAAAGATGCTGAACAATGTATTACACTAAAGACTGATTTTGTCAAAGTAAAAAAAGACTCTTTAAATAAAAAAAAGAAATTTTTCTTTTTAAGGGATATTCGCGAAAAGGTGCTGCATTATCATTTCTAAAACGATATGATGAAGCAATAAATGTTTATGAAGAAGGTCTTAAAATAGATTCGAATAATCAGCAATTACTTACTGATCTAGAAACAGCACGAAAAGATGCAGCTAAATCATCAGCTAATGGACTTAGTTTCTTCTCCGATCCACAATTTATGAATCAACTTTTGACAAACCCAAAAGCACGAGAACTTTTAAAAGATCCTGAAACAGCCATGCTTATGAAAATGATGCAAGAACAACCAAATAATACATCGTATGCTATTTATATAAAATAGTTTCAGTTAATTTATTTATTTCATTAGAATTCTGACTAATCCAAAATTATTAAAATTAATTGGAACTGTACTTGGAATAGACATTGGTACTGGAAATGATAATGATACAACAATGGAAAATGATACAAATCCAACAACTACAAAAAAAGAAACAAATACTTCAACATCGTCAAAACCATCAAAGACTACAAATACAAATAAAAATTTAACATCAGAACAAAATCAAGTAATGACATCTACAGGGTTACCTATAAATCGAGTCCGCCAGATGTAAACCTTTTTGGACCTGGTTAGTTGAAAAATATTCAGCATCTCAGGCATGTCTTAATCAATCGAGCCAGTTTTTTTTTTCTCAGTAAGAGATAACTCGTCAAAATTGTTCCTCACAAGGAAGTTGCCATCGAATACTATTTTGAACTAGTACTATTGTCCTCAATGAAGAGATGCATTGGTAGCCGAAAACATCCTGCCTGTAATCTTAATTGTTCTGAAGACTACAGATCTGAAAATTTCAGTACATGTATCTATTAAGAAAAATAAGTTAACTAACTCAAAAAGAGAAGGAGTTTACGACCTAGTCAATCTATGACTATTTCACATCACTACTTAAAGAGACTATATAATGATAGGCGCATCAAATGATAAGCTTCTTTCCTTATCGAGCTATATAATTCACAATGAGAAGAGTTGCTATAGATCATAGCTAAAATGAATGAGAGCGAGCTGGTCTCGTTAGTTTACATTTCTATGGTAGTATATATGTTAAAAATTTTACATTTCTAGTCCCAAGAATAGCTGATCAGGATATCTATTCAAGTGTCAAATCGCTTTTCAAACACGGCGATGCTCATTTGATAAATGCTAGAGAGTAATAGTCATTAAATGAACATCGTTTTAGTCGAAAAGCGATTTGACACCGATCAATAATATATTTCTTCGTTGATATCAATAGTGTTAGTTCATCACAGTATTTATGTGTCAGTTCCCTTATAATTAAAAACTTTGACGAGTCTTGTATCACCGAGGAAAATATCAGCCAGTATGCTTCAAGCAGACTGAATATATGGAAATTTCTTTAGTGTCTAGCTATTCATGAAAGACCCTGAAAATACTTTTCTTTTTTTTATTTATTTTAATCTTATTATTATAATACTAGGCCGAAGAAGAAAAAGAGAAGGGTAATGAAGCATACAAGAAAAAAGATTTTGAAATAGCATTGAATCATTACAATAAAGCAACTGAAATCGATCCAAAAAATATGACCTATTATACAAATAGAGCTGGTTAGAGTTCAACTTTGTTTTTGTTGTTCTTATACATTTTATTAAAATTTTATTTTCTAGCTGTTTATTTTGAACAAAAACAATGGGATGATTGTATAAAAGAATGTGAAAAAGCTATAGATATTGGACGTGAAAATAAAGCTGATTATAAATTAATTGCCAAGTAAAAAAAAACATAAGAATACTTATTTTTGTAATATTTCTTTCATAGAGCTTATGCTCGTATGGGAAATGTGAAAGCACAAGAAAAAAATTATGAAGATGCTATCAAATATTTTAATCATTCACTCTCTGAACACCGAAATCCAGATATATTAAAGAGAAAACAAGAAATTGAAAAAATATTTAAAGAACAAGAAACATTAGCTTATGTTGACCCTGAAGTAGCTGAACAAGAAAAAACAAAAGGAAATGAATTTTTTCAAAAAGCTGATTATCCAAATGCACTTAAACATTATACGTAAATTTTATTATTTAATTGTTTTTTTTAAATAAATTTTTATATAATACGTTTTTTTTTAATAGTGAAGCTATTAAACGAAATCCATCTGATGCAAAACTTTATTCGAATCGAGCAGCTTGTTATACAAAATTAATGGAATTTCGATTAGCACTAAAAGATAGTGACGAAGGAATTAAAATTGATCCAGCATTTAGTAAGTTTTAAAAGAAATCGAATTCAATTCAATTATTTGTTTTTTTTTTAGTTAAATGTTATCTTCGTAAGGGTCATGCCTTAGTGGCAATGAAAGATTTAGGTCAAGCAATGGCTGCATTTGGCAAAGCTCTTGAAATCGATCCAAATTGTCAAGTAAGGAGAAAAATAAAATTTATTCAGAATCGATATATAACAAGCGTTTTAGGAAGCTATTGAAGGCTATCGACAATGTTCAGTAAGATCGAGTGATGATCCTGAAGAAGTTCGTAAACGTGCAGCTGCTGATCCTGAAATTCAACAAATTCTCAGTGATCCTGGTATGCGTTTAATTCTTGAACAAATGCAAAATGAACCACAAGCATTACGTGATCATTTACGAAATCCTGCAATTGCACAAAAAATTCAAAAATTAATCGACTCTGGTATTATTGGTATTCGTCACGGTTAATTCGATGAATTCTATGACATTTTATTTTGAGAGCATATGTAGTCAAGAAATGAGAATGAACGTCTAGGTGTGTTTTTTTATATTTCGTAATTTGTTTCTATAGTCATCCCATTACAACAGTGACTGGTACATTTTAGGAAATTTGGAAAAGAAAGAATATAATGAATATTAAAAAATCGATCAAAATAAAATTGATTACAGTTATTACTTGATAAAACTACTTAAATCTTAATTTAGAAAAAAAAAAAGAAATACCAATCGTATTGCATGATTAATAAGCTTAACATTGAATCATCTTAAATTTCCCTTTCTTTGAATATTTTATTAATGTTTGTTGTTCTTATCGCTTACGTTCTTTTTTCTACACGATTGATTAAAACCCATATGGTAATACGCGCATTAGAATAATGGTAATTGCAACAAATATCATGCTTATATAAACAAATGAAACAGCTATTTCTTTTTGTTTTGTACGAAATCATTAACTTTGTTTTCTATAATAATGATTACAAAAACCTTTTGTTGTACATTTACATATAAATTTAAATTGACTCGATAAATTGTGTCTGTTATTTTAACATTTAACATTATTGTAATAATTGAAGTTATTCACAACGAATATCTTCGTAATCTGAGTTACATTGGTAAATAAATGAAATTGGACTTGTCTCAATATATGTTTCATGAAGAAGATTGATATGAAGTTTATCCATGGTCGAATACCGATTTCATAGTGTTTAGTAATAAATTTTGAAGATGAATATAAACAATAATAATAAGAACTTTTTGTTGAACATATGCCATTATTGCGATATGGTTGAATCATTAAACAATTAGCAACACCTTATTTCAATCGAGACTTATTTCAACATTAATACAAATAGTTGGTTGCCATTTTATTAGTTCATCACTCATGTAAATAAATTGATTTATTTTTGCGAAATGTTCGGATAAAATGATAAAGTTGTTGACTGGGAAGCTGTAGAATGTGTTAAGACTATTACTAGAGAAAAGAGGAAACTGATGCGCTTTCTGTATCAATAATTAGTGGTAGTAGAATGCTTGAACTACTGAAAATAATTATCGAGTGAGAAGTGATTCCTCTAAGAGAAGATTCAGTACATGTTTGGTTTTAATCGATGATTAGTTTCTGTGAAGTCAATGAAGTTTCTAATACAAATGCTGACTGATACAATACAATTGTTTTTTTTTCTGAAAACTTTATTGTTGAAGCAAATCAAGAAATCGATGTTGAATTTTTATTAATAATTGGCATCAGTGAACAATTCAATATAAATAATATAATTGTAGGTTGTAAGGTACGGTGTAGATGGGTGGGTGCGATGTGGGTGTAGACATGTCTCAACTGATACGGATTTGAAGCATTATGCCACGAGTTTCGACTATTGCTTAGATAGTCATCGTTAGGTATCTTTAGAATCAGAAATTGCATGACAATAAACATATTTTACATTAAAAGACACCTAATTACTTAATCTATTTTCAAGATGGAAGTCAGAAGCAGATTACCAACATGAGAAATAGTAATCAAAAGCAGTACAATCAATATAAATCTTAGGGTATGGGTTTGAGTGGAGTATGGGGTGTGGATAAGGTTTGGGTGTGGGAGAGTAGAACACCCATATCCCACCAACGCTCCATCGACACCCACACCCTGGCTTCCCATGAACTTAAAAAGTCAAAAGAGTTACCTTAAAATAACTAAACGCACACTAATCTTAAAGTGTTTCAATTTCAGTGGTTAAAACAGCCATGTTCATCGAGTTAATTCCAAAATTTTCATTAAAAGTCAAGTTCATTACATTTGCTTCATTAGAATATTCCTTTTCGTCAATGAGTTCCAAATATATCATAATTAATGTCCGTTTCATCATCCAAAACTACATTTTTTTCATGTTTTTGATATAAAACTCGTGAAAGTCATGCACTTTTCTTATTACTCAAGTTCGTGAGTTATTTCTACTCTCATTCATTAATTAACTGAAAATAACTGAAATCAAGGCCGAAATTGAACGCAAACGTTCGGGTTCGATGCATGTCTATCTTAGAGGATTTTTCATCTTTTGGTTCCTCTCAGCTTCATGTCTAATAGAGATACGATAGAATCACAGGAGATACATTGAGACTGCATACGATATGACGAGGATGCATTCGATACCGGAAAACATTGTTCCCTCCCTACGTTATTCACTAACACTCAACAGACGGTCTCAATCACTTTTATTATGTGACTCTTAAAAAGGTACATCGTTGCCGTCATTGAAATAATTTCTTTTTCTTATCTGCTTATGGTGAACGCTGCCTTGATGATTTGTGTTATAGTTATTGAGGAAAAGACTAGAAAACATTGACAACATCACTTGATGGATTTCTATTATTAGAACAACCGCCGATAAGTATCCATACGAGTCAATGGCAAGATGATGCTTTATGCATTTGATGTATATGGATATTCAAGTGATTGGTGTCTCGCTTCGATGTGTTTGGTTTAACATCAAGATGGATATTGTACTATTAGATAGGAGGCTGGGTAGTAACGTTCGGCATAAAAAAATTTCAATGCTTCGCTGAGCTTCCCGAAAGTTTTGTAGTATCTTGTTCTCGCATTTTCATCGCAGCTATTCTTCTTTTCAATTTTTTCGTTCTCATATTTTTTTTTCCTTTTATACTGATGTCTCTTTGCATGTTCAATGATAGGTGTCTTTGAGATCAGCATGGTCAGAGAGTTAAATTAAGCAATACAAAAAAGATAATAGTCGAAATTGGCTATAAAGTTTTATTTCAATTAAAAAGTTATTTTTTATGAAAGTATTCAAACTGATCAACTAAATATTGAATTGCTTTGAACATTTTTTGTATCGAATGTCAGTCTCGATTATTGGGCCAGATTGTCCATATTTCTTAGCAAAGCGAAGGACGACCAAGCCATCATTATTACACACGCAAATTTCAAAACATGAAACTGGAGCTCCATCGCTTAGAAAGCTCTCTTTGAATTCGTGTTCATTCTTTATTTTAAGACAATTACGATGAAACTGCTCCGCTTTGGCATAGCCGATGTGGATCGACGCGTCAGCACGCGCTGGTAGGAACAGTATGACATCTTCCAAAAAGCACAGAAAACAAAATAAGGATTGGTTATGATTCTATGTCAGAACGAAAAGCTTTCTTACGATCATCAAACGGATGTTTTGCAAATGCGACACATACCATAAGAACGGCTAATAATAATCAGAAACTTGTCGATGAATTCATGGTGACAGTTTATGAGTAAAAAGAAAGCTTTCTAGAATATGAGTAGACACTCGTACTTTTATTGATGGACGTTATGCCGCTGTGTATCCCTTGTTTCTTAATCCTTAAATCTGTGACCTTCAGACTTTTGTTTCAATTACTTAGCAGCAGACTCCAGTGTTTCAATCGTTTCTCATCCCAGAAAAGTGTAATTTGATCGTAAACATGTGAAAGAACTAGCACAAGTAAAAAAATGATTATAACTCGCGTCTACGAAAGGTATTTCATTTCTAACGCCTTTCTCTCTATCTTATTGATAAGATAAAGTGTGCTAATCTGAGGGTGAGGGTAGATGAGATATAGCTACCAAAATCATGATTTCGGCTCGGCTAAGAGCCTCATCAGATGGTTTCAGTCTCGTTAGAATTCTGTATGATTTCGAAAATCAACCACTAGAATCCGAAACAAGCGCGTGGGTGGGTCTGAGCCTCGGTGTCAATTTTCTCTTCACCCACACCTCACACCCATGTTCACTCCTACAACCTAGTCATACAGTTTCCATTACATGATTTGTCTAATTCGAGTTGGAATAGAAACAAAGAGTGAAGAAATAAAAATGCTTGACCAGAAGACTGATCATTATCATCATATTATCTCTTTGCTATGGCATACTGGATTTAAGTATCGCATACATTTCGCATACGTTTAATCGTTTTTAGATACATCAAAATTTCAAATTAAACTAGGGTTCTATAGCATTCTCTTTGTTTTCAAGTTGGATGTCGGTGTCGATTGTGTGGGTGCGTGGTGAGAACAAGACAGTCACAGCCACATCCACACCCACACACCCTTACCTTTCATATTTGTTTTTTCTGAACAAACATATCAGCTTTTAGCTAAAAAGAACAGCGAGAGACAGTATGTGAGGTGTGGGTATTGATGTCGTTAAGAAAAGACCCACAACAACATTCAAAAGTACAGCCACGCCCACCCACATCATCCAAAAATAAATTCACTAGATATTATTCTTTTTTGTTTTCTTCAATTGCCTTTATAAATAAAAATATTTCGAACAATCCTTGAGTGTTCCTCATCGTGAAACAGTGTTGAGTTTTCATATCTCTATAATTATTTTATCCAAATGGAAGGATGAAAATTAGATTTCTTCGCCAAGTGGTTCAAACCATTTCTTCGAAAGAAAAACTTTGGATGAAACACTGATTATTAGCTAACTGAATAAAACGAATAATCATTCATTTCCATAAGTTTATCTATTTCATGATTATATTGTATTTTGATAAAGACTAGTTTTGTATTGATTGGATTCAATATTATTCAAAATAAAATATTAATATCTTCTCGCGAACCGTTCGCTTTGAGGAAATCATTAGAAAACAAATATCTAGTATTCACTAGAAATTACTCAACTTTATTGGTTACTGCCTCGTCACTAAACGAATGAACCGAAACGATTTTAACCAGAATAATTGAATGCATACCTAAGTCTTGGAAGAACGTTCTTTTGTCGCTCTAATAATTTTCTTAGATTTTCTATGTATTGATGTGTGATGAACTTTTAGCTTTCATCTCTTTTTTATTATATATTTCTCTTAAATCAATAGAAAAACAAAACAAGCTAATATATGTTACACTGAATGCAAAAAATTCATCAGGAATCTATTTATCATAGCGATGTTGTGTACGAAAGAACTAGATAATGGGAAATATTGTAACTGAAGAAAGTCGTTTTGACAGAACAATAATGGTTATTATTTAGACAACATTTCTGCAACAGTTGACAAGAAAAAAACACTAAGACTTGCGATGATTTTCAATTAAAACGTGTAATTATTGTTTTATGATTTAAAAAACGTATATTTAGAAATTGTTGTTGTTGTCATCATTAAATTTTGATAATGAATCAAAATCGTCAATCAAAGTTTGATGAAGAGAATTCAACTGAATATAAAGCACTTGCTGCCAAAATATTCGTGCATTTTAAATAATATTTAATGAATCAACATCAAATATTCATCAAAATGTTCAACACTAATTTTGAACAAATTTTCCAAAGAAATCAATAAATTAATCAAAATCATTAATTTCATTTCTTTTTCTTTACTTTCAAATAATATATATTCAATTAAAATCAATTATTTTCATCAATCATCTGCTTCTTCATTAAGACATATTCAATCTTGAAATGGCAAATTAAATAAAAAACCACTTGAAGGTGTAGATGTTCATATGGTTCAAGAGAATACTCACATCCAAGAACAAACGACATCGTATAGGAAAGTTTTCAATAGTCATAGTTCTCGTACTAGATTTCTAAGGAACCTCTTAACTATTCCTGTTGTGATTTGTCGAGAATTCTTTAAAAAAACTTAACTAGAGTTATTCATTCATTAATTTAAAAAAATTGTATAATAAATCGTGATCATATCGACTATTTAAATGACATGGGTAGTATTTGAAGTTTTATTTTTATCAGTTTTGCTAATGACATTTCTTGCTCAATATTTGTACGTCCTGTTCAATCAATTATTCGACTACACCTATTTTTCTTAATCATACAGTATTATGGATGCCACCACCTAATGACTTTGTCCATATATGGAAATAGACGATGAAAACTGGAACTCATCAGAAGGAAACTATCTATCAACTGTTTTACAATCGTTCAATGAATTGGTCTGCATCTATTTTTGCTTTTTCATCTTTTACTATTAAGAAAAACCTAATGACAACGAGTAAAACATCAGCTTTTGTCAAAGTATTTCTATCAAGTGATACGTTTGAAACACATATGCAAATAAATACATAACAAATCTGACGTATAATATTCATCGTAGTTGAATAAAGCACAATATTATATTTTCATTGAAATCATGATGACGGAGAAAGTTTTTCTTTGCTCATTGTCTATTCTTGATGATATCCCAAAGATTAAAGCATGTTTTGGTCCATTCTATTCATTTGTTTTGACACAGGAAGTCAAAATATATTGCAGACAGAAAATCAATATTTTCTACTTTTTTTCTTTGAACTGATTTCATATCTAGAATGTCGCATCAAAAATATATTCCATGGTACAACCGGTCTATACGATAGAAAACCATTATATTGATTAAATTGTTAATATACAGTGGATACTCAAATGATTCAAAAATAGGAGTAGATATTTTTTTGGTTAATTTTTTACAAGCTATGTGATTTGCGATGGCTCAATTTTATTATTCGTATAGTTCATAGTATCTGGTTTATGTACATAAAATCTCAAGTCAAATAATCTTTGTTTGATAGATACTGGTCATATACTAATAATGTGTCATTTTCGATCATTCAAAAATTAATTAATAGTTTATTTTTGCGATTTTCAATACTAGTATGATAAGCAAAACACTTCATTATCATTTACAAATTGAAAGATAAAATGTTTCTCTACATGTTCGAAGTACTCACGAGGGAATCTTCCGAAGTGATTCATCGCTTTTGACTCCATATTTTCCCAATAAGTACGAGACATGTGGACTCGAAAAAGCCTAAGAGGATATAGGCTCATGTTGCGATTAGCTGAGATATGTAGGCTTTATGGAAAGATCCTTGTAGGACCCCTGATTTACCAACCAAATAATTTTTCGAATTTTGACCTGAAATTTTGCCATATCAAGGTCTCCATTAGAGTAGCTTGGATAAAAAATTTCAGAAACTTTGGACGTAGCATCGCTGAAATATGAATTACCAAAATACTCATGTTTTGTACAGTGTCTATGGAGAAGCGCCTAGATTTTGAAATATTCATATTTTAGCGAAACTACATCAGAAACTTGTGAAATATTTCACACAAGCTACTCTAACGAAGATCTTGATATGGGCAAAGCTTCAGATCAAAATTCGAAAAAAATAATTTAATTAAAAAAGCAGGGTCCTACAAGAATATTTTCATAAAACCTTTATATACTCAGTTAAATCGCAACATGAGCCTATATCTTCTTAGGCTTTTTCTAGTCTACAAGTCTTCTACTTATGAGCAAAAAATGGAGTGAAAAGCAATGAATCACTTCGAAAGGTTTCCTCGTCAGAAAAAAAGAAGATTAAAATGTGCTCCCAGATATGAAATAGACAGAAATCACAGAATCTTATTTAGAATTAGTACGGTAGACAATGCCATGAGACTTCACGACTTCCGCCTTCTATGATCAATTAACAAGTGAAATGAATTTACAGATACTTATCACAACCCATATAGTTTCTGAAAAATGAGCCAAGAAAAATGTCTATTATAATTATTGATTTATTTTAATATCCACTGTATTATGAAAGACTGTATCAGGAAATATCTGTTCCTGTTTAGGAGAAACGGTTTTTGTTAGTCAAGAACGAGTTTATCAAGGACCAGATAGATTCTATGCAAAGTGGTTATTCTATTAAAAAAAATAAAGACGTAATTGTGTCCGATGAAGATGAATATAATAGGGATCAATTTGTTCCCTTGTCTCAGCGTTTTCCATATATACATGAGTACAATAGTTATTCTAGAGATAACTACTTCCATTTATATTGCAGATTAGTAGAGCATGTTGAGTAAGACACGAAAGCTGCTACTAGAGAGTGTGAATGTGGGCTATAGATATTGACGTGCGTGTGAATCTTCGGTTAATTCTGGCTTGCGCCCATACTCTCAAAAAGGAACATTTTTTCCCCGATCACACGAGTTGGGAACAAGGTTTCCTGTGGATGATTGTTTTTTTATTGGATTCAGGTAAAAATGAAACAAAGTCACAGTAAGTTTGTGACAAATGAGTTGATTCTAAGGATGTGTTGTTGGTAAAATGTTCTTGTTTCGTAGTATTCTTTCGACAGTGACATTTGAATGAGCTTCTGTCACAGCGGGCTTTTGGTTTTTCTTTGTTTCTTCTGAAATCAATGCAAGATGAGCAGGATTTCTAGTTGATTTCAGCTTTTTCCTGCTTCTTAGTACACGCTTGACATGAATAGTTGATACAGAATGGATTAGTGACGAATCGATGACTTTTTGCGTCGTGCATTCTTTCTTTCTCGGAATTGATCGATGAGCTGATGCCACATGTCTTACAAATGTCTTCTGTTTGCTAGTTGCTGGTGCTGAACGCACCGATATTGGACTTATATCAACAGCGTCCAATCGAATCGCAGTGTCAAAAATCGATTGACAAGACTGATTTGATAACAATGAATCTCTCTGTGCCAATTTTGTCATCGGTACGCGAGTCACTCGAACATGATGAACAGTCCCGATGCTGCTGCGTCTTAAATTCGTATCTTTAAATGGTTGTGAGATTTGGCACGATGGTAATATAGAGCATGACCTGCTTCTTCGTCTCCCTGAGATCGGTTTGATGTGAGATACTTTCATATGACCACTAGTTTTCGATTGAAATCGAGGAGAACTGATTAAATCCTCGTCGGCTAGTCGAATCGATGGTTTAATACTCGAATTTGCTGCACTGGCTGGTCGTTTTATCGCTGGAATTTTTGAAGCTGATACATGAGGGATCAATTTTCGTTGTGAATGACTGCTTGACATCCATAATAAATGGCCATTTTGACAGTTGCTCGTACCTGATTTATAGTGATTTTGGCCAGGATGTGATGCTCCACTTCGTAATCTGCTCATTTGTATTAGTCGATCATCCCTCGAGTCATTCATAATCCTGTTGCGCACGTTATGGACAATATAGCTAGGGCTATTGACTATAAGACCGTCGCCATTATCCGAAAGTTGATGCCAAGAGCAATTTGGATTGGTACATTGATCGATGTAGTAAAACTCAAAAACTTCTTGACGCTTGACTATATCAGCACGATCACTGGGGAAGCTAAAATAGGAAGAATATTGCACAAGAATGGAGCGCATTGTTGATTATACTCACCAACAATAGCGCCAACAAAGACAGGACAACAAAGTCAATGTCCCAATAAAACCAAAACCAAGGATGCTGCCGAATATTGGCCAATTTGGCGAGTCTGCTGTAAAAAACGGAAATACATATGAATAATAACAATGCTGATCAATGTAAACATACGTTTCTTTGTTGTCGTTGTCGTCGTAGTCGTTGTCGTCGTAGTCGTTGATCTAAAGAGAAAGACCTGTTTTTATTGCTTCTGAAAATGTGAAACAAGCTGATGTTGCGGTTGAAGTACTCGTCGTTGACCTAGAATAAATTTAGAAATCTGTGAAGATTTTTAGCAACCTGCACTATTGATATTTACGTGGAAGTTGTCGAAGTAGACGACGTCGTTGAACTGAATAGTCATCATCAACATTTTAGTTAGAAAGATAAATTTCCTACTTACGTTCTAGTAGTAGAAGTTGTTGTCGTTCTAAAGATTATGAATTATGAAACTAAACGTGAATGAATACAAAACATCGCTACAAACGTGCTGGTAGTAACGGTAGATGTTGTAGTACTAGTCGACGTTCTGACAACAAATATATCAGTCAAATCGGTCTAGAATCAATAGCTTCATTCAACTTACGTTGTCGTTGTGGTGATGCAAATGTGACCAGGACAAGCACAAATATCATTTTGCGAAACGTAAAATTTGAAACAATATTGTGCTGATTGTGCATTTTGGCTAGGTGATTATAAATCGATTCAGTCGTTTTCATTTTATATGAATTCAATACCTGTCGAAAGCCATCGCACACATAACTTGATAGCCAAGTTGAGATGATGTTGGTGTCCATGAAATCATTTTGTAGTAGGTAGACGTATTGAATCGGATGAGATTTCCTTTTACTACACCAGGAAATGATAATGTCGAAATATCGACAATCGTTACACTTGCACCACAGTTGTTAATCGCAATCAACATCGAGTTGAATGTTTGACCGACTGTTATAGATAAACAGGAGTCTTCGAGCGGTATTCCAGCAATGACCGGCTCAGTATCACACGACGGTGAACTCACGACATGAACGAGAAATTGTACGGGTACACTACTGAGTGGAGTAGTGCTTGTTGGAGCGATAAAATCTTCGACCTAGAGATAAGAGGTAAATATGAATGACAAAAAAATATACATAGATTCACCATAATTGTCACAGCAAACCAATCGTCAACTGTAAGACCAGTGATGATAATAGTACAATTTTGATAGATGATAGTACCTGATGCTAATGAACTAGGTGGACATACACCACTACATTCATCAACACCATTGGACGATGTTGACCATCGACAGCGTGTCGTATCATCGTCCGCGTCGCCCACAGGTATGATAATAGCTGTACGATGGTTGACAGGGATATCGATCGGAGACATCATAGTTGCCACAGGAGCATTGTTGTACAAGCCATTATCGGATCTTCTCTTGACTATAATGTGTGTTGAGATTGACCAGAAAGCAGCTCCAGCCGTTGTTAGTGAACGCCAGTCGCCTCCTTGAAAAACAACAGAAAAATCGTCGCCAGCGGACAAATATACAATGTCAGAACGTTGTTCAACAGTGGTGTCCAATGGTGCTGAAATATCCGTGCATCGTGGTCTGATACTAGGAGGAATATAACCAGTTGAACCAGAATTGCAATTAGTAATGCAACTGAGTGTTTCAGTTGTCAGATAAGTATATGCACCAACAGGAATTAATGCATTGGTAGCAATATCAGTCGTTGTACATGTAATCCGTGAATATGTCCATGAATAGGTCTGAGTTATTACAATCGCTACCGGTGATCCAGTAGCAGATTCATCCAATGGATGCCACGAAATAGTTCCACCAAGAAAATGCGATCCATGAACAATGATTAGCGAGCTAAACAGTAGTAGAGAAACTAAAGCAACCGCCATTCTTAACGCTGATTCTGGAAATGAAAATTAATAAAGTCAAAAATGAAGAAAAAACTCAGTTCGTATGTCAAGCTGTCATTCTTCACATTTGTGCATCGTCAAGCTCATGAAAAAAAAAAGAAAGAAATTTGATTAGTTGTTACTGTATGCCTAATGTACAACAAAATCATAGTAGCATTGTCGATCTTAATTCAGTCGAATATAGCTGCATGTCTTGAACAGAGCAGAACAATTTTACGACTAAAAAAGATGAAGTAACACAGAATGATTTAGATGACATTCATACGTCAAAATCAAATAAAAGGTTTACTCAAAAGAGAAACTGCTTTTGTTTTATAACGTAATTGAATTTTTTTCATTGTTTTGTATTGCCATGTCTGAGGAAAAAGTCCAAATAGTCTGTAATAGTGATTATCGTGCTTCACAGCAACAGTATAAATTTCATTATAAAAAACAACAATGATGTCAATACTCCGACGTTACTTTCGACGTAGTTTTTTCTTTGAAAGTTCTGTTTCAATCAATTGTATGTTACATACGATACCATTCGCAAGTAGTGTGATCAGAGCTTCTAACAAATTGAACTAGGCCTGATAGATCATACATGGTGCGTATAGCTTATAGATACTTATGAGTCGTTCATCTAGTGAAATTATTAGTGCAAAGATAGGTAGATTGCCGTGCTAATAATGGCTATTAATTCCCCAAATTAAATCATCATTTATTTCAAACAATCAATTGTATCCGACAGCCTCTCATTACAAAAGACAATCAAAAGCAAACGCAAGGAGAATAAAAGAGAACCGCACCGGGCTTTCTAGTACAGAGAAGGAGGTGCCTCAAAACTTGATAAATCTAAAAAGAGAAAAGAAGGTCAAATAATTCGGAACGTCCGGATACTTACAAGGACTATTTTCCTTTTCTTTCACGAGAAAATGAATCAGTTGAATATGAAAATGGTGTGAAAAGAAGTGAAGATTATGTTACGCGGATAAATAGCTATTTTTCGTAGTCGTAATATAATCCTTGTTATATTTTCGAGTGGTGTAGTTGTTGAACTGCGTTTTTTATTTTTCTCTTTTATATTTTCTACTCATTAAAACGTAATGTAGTTAAAAAACAAGACCTTGCCGCAATTTACACTTCTTCGTTCCTTATGAAATTTGCTTTTTGCGTTTTTATATTCATTCTTATTCTAGATATATTTATTTAGCGCAGTGTTGTTTAACAAAAAAGAAGGGTGTGCGATTGTGAGTGTTGGTGTGTAACTAAGCACCGGTGAGTGAAAGAGACGACACACAGCATATTTTTAATGATATTTTTGTTTAGAAATATTCCATAACATATTTTATTATTCTTTTTCTAAATCAAGCAAATCAGCTTATTCTTTGGAATAATTTACCTGAAGAAAATAAAAAATAAAAAGATGATTCAATTTTAGTTCATGAAAATAATCATCTAAATATAATTATTGATACTAATCAAATATTATTTTCATATGATATTAGTGTTGAAATGGCACAATAGTAAAAATTTAAATAAAAATTTGGAGATTAAAATTGATAATTCAGTTTTGTAACGATATTGACATCCAACTAAGAGTGTGGGAGCGGGTATGGGTGAGGTGTGAATGTGTGCCTGTGGTTGTGTCTCTACATATGGATAACTCTTCATCGCATCCACACCCATACTATGATGTACTGCTGCAAATGAACCGGCTGACCAACCTCATCCAGTACATTGATTCAACCAGCTTTGTTTATCAACTGAGTACTGTATTCTATAATAAGCATTTGACATCGTCAGAAATAGTCAAGCAATAAAACAATTTCAATAAAACAAAAAGAAAGTCTACCAGCAATAATACTTTTAGCAAAAAAAATCTATTGCAACTTCTTTCTTTCGTAAGACAACTGACTTTTACTGAAAAACTTCGTTGTCAAAAACATTCATGATACTGATGGATCTAATTACCATTGTAAACATATACTATAGTATAATGAAAGTGAATTTTTTTATAATTTTTAATCAGGGTCAATTTTGCCAGGAAATTCATTTCCGTTGCCTGCAACGTCGAGATGTGTATGATAAATGAAACGGTTGAAGAAATTCTAACAGAATTTGTTTTCATAGTTTTGAATAGTTGAAGTTAAATGGTTAAAGTTTTGTAATGGATGAAATAAAAAAATATCTGTTAAAAGCATTTCTTTGGAAACTATTACAACATACCAAAAATATTTAGATATGATTTCATGAAATAGCAAAGATCTTTCAAAGTCTTAATTTTTTAATTTTATCGAAGTCAAATTGTAAGTGATACAAGAAATGTTCGCAAATTTGCGCTTGATTGAATATTTTTAATTTGAAAAAAGAGTGTGAGTGGATGAGTGTTTAAGCGAGATTGCCAATGTAGGCGTGACATTGAATTTTCTCTTTATGCCGGCTCATTAACATCGAAATCAACACACACACTTACCCTCATATCTTCTAGCTGAACGAAAGTAAAATTTTGTATTTCGAGTAGTGTCAACAAATTTATTTCTGAAAAGTAATCTTGAAACGAATAGAATGAAAAGAAAGTTCGCGTAGTCTCACTTGTTGACATTGTTGTTAATTTTAACCACTACAGATGTGATCCAAAGAAGAAACAGGGTGTAGATGTGGATGGATGTGAATAGGGGACTATAGGAAGCCTACAGCAATATCCACACCCACACGCTACACTGATACACATAAAAAAACTCAGCTCGATCGGATGCACTGTGTGACAAAACAGGGGTGAAAATCTCGTCTTTTTGTCTAAAACTTGATTTTGAGAATAACGAAAAACAACATTTCTGTACGCATTGGAACTTTTTCTCCAACAAGATTGATCGAAACCTGGCTGTGTTCACTGATGTTAGAGGTCTGTGACTCACGTTCTAAGGACCTCTGGAATGGAAAATACACATGATTATTCAGGAAATTCTGTATAGAATAAAATGATTGTAGCATAAGTTTTCTGCTGGAGTTCGAAAGTTGGATTTAATAAACGTACTAATTAATATCAAGGCCTCCTCATTTATATAACATTTGGCAAAGAATACCTTGAAGCTATATCAACAATGAAAAACCAAAAATGGAAAGAATTTCGGCTTTATGTCCGAAAAGGGGGAGAGTGCTGCTTAAAAGTAGAGTTCTGCAAAGTAAGACTTTGTCGTACCCTACACCCTACCCTATAGGGTAAGGTAGGGTGACTCTGCAGGACTCTACTTAAAAGTAAAAAATGATTAGTTAAATATTTAAATAAAAATTTAGTTCATAACATTTGAGATGAAATGTAATGAGTTTTATAATCGATCAGAATTCTCTGGAAAATGGCAATAATAATTTGTTGTGAAATAATAACTTATTTTATTTTATTTAGATGATCAAGAACTGAATAAAAAAAAATCGATAGTATTTAAATCAATTAGATATTGATTATCGTCAAATATAGCTTTACTTAATATTTCATTAAAAAAATAAACGCTAATAGAGAATGAAGGTTTGAATGTTCATCTTCTGTTCTCTTAGTCACACTCACATTCTTATTAAAAATAGTGAAAAATATTTTTTCAAAGATTGATGAATATTATAACTCTAATTAGCAAATATATTTTAAATAGAAATTATTTCAAAGTTAACTAATCAATTCTCAATACAAGATGCAATGAAAATTTTTTTTTGACACAAAACAATATCGTCAACAGGTAGAAACAATATGAAAAAAACTTTTCATCCACAAACGCATCAAAAATAAAATTTTAAAGAAAAATTTTCATTTTTATGATTTTGAATCGATTGAAAAATATTTTTTTCAACATGATGTATTCAAAACAATGAAACTTTAAGTGCTCAAATAAGAGTAAATATATTCTAGACAATTTATTACTATAAAATTTCAACAGAAGAAGAACGGAAGAAGAAAAAAGTGTACATGGTTTACATAATAAAACATAATTGAAAATTTTATTCATCTAAACATGTTGAATATAATCTTTTTCTTGTAGTTAATGAACTTTGCATAGCCGGTACTGTTTCATTATTTGGGACTTCGTTTCTTAATTTACTTGCACAACATCATTTGATCAGAAAAAGAAAAATTCTCATTGTTACTCGTACTAAACCAACTCGAAGAAATCTATTAGACAATTTTATTTTCGACATATATATTATTTCAATTCTTAAAATAACTGAACAAATTTAGCTCGAAAATCTACACTTACAAATAATAATTTAGCAAGGAAAATGGATATCTCAAATGGATTCCCTCCTATATAGTTAATATAAACACATGAAAATGGTTAGGAACAGATTTCATACAGAATCTGTGAAAAAAAGATTGAATAATAAACAGGTAAACTGTTCTTGTCTATATTCATAAACAACGAAGTCTTACAATGTCCGTATATCATTGTTTATCGTTCTTGTCGATTGCGATGTGTTCAAATTTTAACAATCGACGAAACTTTGATATCACGATAGAGAAAAGACATTTTTTCTTCTTCCTCCTTTTAACTTCAGTTCTTAGAATCATGAATATTGTGTTTCTTAATGGTGCAATGTTCTATTCGACAACAATAAACGGTCGATCTGGTAGATCCAAGTTCTTCTTTATCAGCCCGGTCTAAATTTGTTTGAGTTTTCGTATTTGTGGTAGAACACGTATCAGAGTATTTCTATGAAGTGAAAAGGGTTTATAGTTTAGTTAATATATTTTATCAACTCGTTTTCGATACCAATGTGCGCGATCGAAATAACATTGAATAGTTCTTATTACAGTTTCTTAGATATATTTGTATTTTCTGTTATTTATAGCATAAATATTGCAAAGACATAAGAGATAATCAAGTAAATATAACGTGCAAAAGGTATGAAATAAATAGAATGTTAACAATATCTATGTCGAACCAGCAGTTAATCAATGTGCAAAGCTAATACAGAATTCTTATTCGTATGAACTGTTTTTGCTCACCGATAGGTACCAAAAAAGAAGAAGTCTATGAAGATAACTAATGAAAAGAGCCTTAGTGGTGACACAGAAGCCTTGCGCCATAACTGTAATAATTCTCAAAGGTACATATGACTAATCGAGAGTTGAATTTGACTTTTACAGGATGAGAAAAGAAAACAATGATTCATGTCGGTACGAAAAAAACCTATCAGTTGTAGGTCTGAAATAATGAGGCAGAAAGGAAGTTATCCAACATAAGTTTCATATCAAAACAAATAACTTTTGTTGACATAGATAAATCAAAAATTTTATGGCAGACATTCGTAAACATCATTATATAAACTTTGTCTTCATCGACTTGTTATTTTTATTTCATATGAATTGATATCATATTTATATGAGCCTCGCACTAATTTATATTGAATATATTTCAGATTAATATTTTATAAAATACAAACTAATATGTCAAAATCAGTAACTAAATTCTATGATTCAAAGAAAAAGACAGTTGTTTTGATGCCATCACGAGTGCTTATTGAATTAAAACCGAAAATTGTTCAAATAATTATTGGAGATAAATCGACTAAGTTGAAAATGGCTCCAGAATGGTTTAAACATGACAATCAAAATAAAACCTTACAGAATATTGTTTATCCCGAAGGTATCACCGATAATGAACAACATCAATTTGATGTTGTAGCTCGATATCGTGCGGCTAGCAACAAACCGAATAATAACTTTCGTGAAGCAGTACTCCACTCTAATGAAAGTAATGCTGAAACCCTTGTAATTGCCTTAGACAATTTTGTTCAACAATTTGGAGGAGAACTAAGTTTTACCAATGAAGATTTGACATTTAAAGAACCGGCTCATCGTACAGCTTGTGGCATAGGCGATTTAAGTAGTGCTCATTTATTAGCTACTAATTATATTCCTACAGCCCAATTCAGTTTCTTAGTTGATCTTGACTATCAAACTGATTTGGCTCGATCAAGTGAAACAATGCAAAATTTTGTATTAAATTTTGCCAATGCCATAGCTGACGTATTAACCTGTTCGAATGATTATGTTCGAGTTATATCTGTTGACAAACCAGGCAAAACTCGATATCATACGAAAATCAACTTCGGTCTGACAACACCAAATCCAACAGAAACAGAACAACTTGTCGAAGAGCTTAAGGTATATTTTAGATTGCCATTTGTTCGACAAATGTAAAACTTCAACATTTCACTTTTTAGAATTTCGATATATAAAATTTCAATTCGAACATTTGAGTACGCGATGTTTAAGTCAATTAAGATGAATATATAGATGATGTTGACTTGATTTAATATATTGAAGAGAAGTTAGAAAATTATCTTGAATGAAACTTTCTGTAAAGCACATACATATCGTTTAGAAATTTTGATTCCAATCATCTAGTTTGTGTCTTTTTTTATAGGTTCGAGCTCGCGATGGTTTCACTGATCATCGAATTCTCAAACATGTTAAAAAAGATAAATATGAATATAAATGGAAGCCTCTCATAACTTATTTTCAACTAAAAACATCTGATTTCGTTTCAGAATTCAATATTGATTACACATCGAGTATGCCTACAAAAGATAAGCGCGGAGGCTATCCATATTATTTACCAATTGGATGGTATCGTCATGCACTTAAAGTGGTTGATAAGTATCCAGACGATAAACTATGGCTTGGTAGTAATAATGTTGATGGAGAATGGCCTGTTGCTTTTCATGGTACTCATGGTGGTGCTGTCAAAGGTATTAAAGAAAAAGGTCTTTTGATCACCAAACACGATGCAATGAGAAACGAAGCTATTGAACAGAAAGGAGACTACTTCGGTCGACCAGGACTCTATGTAGCAACGCATTGTAGAGGTGGAGCGCATCCAGTATATACAACACCATTTACCATTCATAAATCACCTGAAACAATCGAGACATTTCGAGTTGTTTTTCAGTGTCGTGTGAAACCAGATGCATTTACAATTCATACAGGGCCGGTTGAAATAGGCCAGGCATGGCGTTTTGTTGATCCCGATGCTGTTCGTCCATATGGTATCTTGGTCAAAAATGAAAGCACGGCGAAGTCAAGTTTGGAAGATGTCGAATAAAGATCGATTTTGAATCATGTATAAACTCTATTTTCTTCAAGTTTTATTTTTACTGAAATATTTATTAGAAAATCTAGAAGTAAATGTCATTTGAAAAAACGAAACTTGCTTGTTTTCTTTAATATATGTGTCTTTTGTTTCATTTCAAAGAAAAAAGCTAATAGAGAATTCTAATTATTTGATAGATTTATAAATGAATAGACAATGTCGAAAGTACAAGTCTGTCAAAAATTCTTTATAAATAATTAATTATTTGAATAGAACAAGTTGTATACGAAGTTATTGTTTAAGAAAAATATTTAAATTCGGTTGTCAATATGAATATCCTATTAATGGAACTTTTTCTTGGAAGTTTTTCTAAATCTATCCGATAAAAATAATGAAGATTAAAAGTTTTGTTGATGTTAAATCAAAAAATACATTGGTCGATATATATTGAACAATTGAGTTGATAGTCATTCTTTTTATTAATATTATATCGAGTGAGTCATAGTGAATGCAATATCGGTTATTTTGCAAATATCCAACACAGACAGAAATTTTATAACTTTAAATTTCTTTTTTTGTGGATATGTCACCAAATTCGTTGAACGTAAAAAGTCGAACAGAAACAATTTCGAAGAAAAACAATCGAAAGAGTGTGGATGTAGGCTGTAGCGCTAGAAAGATACGATGAAGAGGGTGTGGGGTGGGGTAGGGTAGGGTAGGGGTATGGATGTTAACGCAAAGAAGACTCTTTCCTACCCAACCCTCGTCCTCACATTCTTGAGGTAACAGTTCAAAAGGGATAACGAAGCTGACTAATTGAAATTGGCAGAGAGCCACTACGATATTTCTGTGCTTGTCTTCAACACTATATCTGTGTAACTTCACAGTTCTATGAACCGGTTCTTTTTTGAGAACTGGGTTTCCTGGCCAGTTCTTTTCAAATTGATTCGCTCTATTGATAATGGTGATTTAGCTAATCGATTCAGTACTTCTTTCAGTTGTCAAAAAATAACTGGATACCTGATACCAGGTCAGATCTTTGATAGGAAACTGTTACAGACCTATTGAACACATGCAATCAATCTTTTACCTTCTTATCATAATCAGACAACATATAAAAATAAATTCTTACAATCTGCAAGTGTAGTCACTCCGTATTATATGCTTCCTATTCCAGCTCTATTATATGAAATTGCAACTTATTCTTACCTTTCCCATAAGTATTCTCTAACGGAAATTTACTACTAAGCTCTCATAGATTTTATATTCGTTGTGGCAACATTTAACGATCTCGTCTACTTTCTTCCATCTCTAATGTCATTCTATCTATTACTGACCTTATCAGTTAATAGATCTACGCAAATTCTACTGTCCATCTTAATTTTTCTCTCTGAAAGCAGACTGTGGTTCTTTCTATCGCATAAATGTACATGGGCCTACTGAAAGAACGCTACATGTCCCGGTATTAGGAAATTCCTACTTTGTTCCATCTCATTCTATGCCTTTTCGAGATTACCAATCAATAGAGCTTAGAGAATTACCATCATGGTCAACATTTGACGTTAAGACAAAACTGTCTTCATGCTCCGCATGAAACACGTACGGAAGCCTAGTAAAGAAGGCTGCTAATTTTACCAAAATTTCACGTTTTTGATCCTGTTGCACAACTTTTCTCTTATTTTAGAGGCTACGAATCGATAGAGCTTAAAAATTACCCTCGTAATTCAAATTGACGCTGTGGCAAGACTGTTGTCATAAAAAATTGTCGAAAAAAAACCCTATGTGCTTAGAAAAGGACCAATTTGGGCCCAACAATCGCCTTTTTTCATCCGAAGATTACATATATTCGGCGTAAAAAGTTCAAACTCGTCAAGAACTCCAAATTCTGGGTTAGAAAAATATTTTCCACTAAATATCAGTTGAACATTTATTTCATGAGGGTCCTAGTAATATAAAATGGAGTCCATATAGTGATTAGGACTATTTCAGAAATAAAGCGGTTTTGCGAGCTCTCATTGGGATATTCGTAATCACCATTCTTGACTCCATAAGCGCATTGGTTTTAGCTTCCGGAAAAAGAAATTGTTTTTCATGCTACTCGTTACGAGGGGGAGAAGCTGGAAAATGAGTTTGGAAAAAAGACGCTGGTGTGGATGATGTTGGTGTGACTGCAGGTATGAGTGTAATAAGAAATTAAGAGCTACATCTAACCGCACCCATATCCCACATCCGAATATCAACGACTACCAAATATTGCCGAAAAGTAATAAAAGTTGGTCATGCAATAGTACTCAATCATCAGCAACAATCACCAGCACCGTTTGCAACAATTGAATCACTTCAATGTTAGAGATCATGCATCAGGAGCTGAAGCAGAAAATGTTTTCTATGAAAGAAATAATTCTGAAGGAATTAGATGATGAAGTCAACATTAACTCAAGAAATATATAATTACATTAAGCTAGCCTATTACAATTAACCCATCGTCATCAAAGTTAATAAACAATGTAATATTGCCATTAGTGGATATTATACAGAATTCAAAACGCGAAACAAAAGAGAAAATATTAACTTCTTTATAAGAACTTGAAGTACCGCTTCGCATTCATGCAGAAGAGGGTCGTACAAATTTTAACTCTCGTCACATCCCAGATCAACTTTATAATATACACCCAATATCAACAGCAAAGACCAACAACAGCAGTAACATCGAGACTAGATTGAACTCCCCTTCAAATGATACACCATCCTTAATGGAAGACTCTAATAAAACATTGGAGGAAAATCAATTTTGATGACCATATCCACTCTAAACGTTAATACATGCATTTTTTTTATCCGCAACAGGTAATAGAGAAAATCGAGAAAGGTAAAAAACGATTAAGAAGCGATTGGTTTCCGATAAAAACGATCATGAAAATCTCTAGTGACTCAACTGAATGCTCTTCCATGCCATTGGAAGTAGTTTTACCCCGTTAAGGACATTTCCACGCATATCTAGAAAGTAGTGATTTCACGGTGTCAGCAAGTCCCCTAAAACTTTGCTTATATAATGTAGAAGGAATGAAAAGTCGTAAATTAGAAACAATCGACCTGATTCATTCGGAAGAGACCTTGATCAGCAACCTCACCAAAATTGGTGAATAGGAAACTATAGTCCATCCAAAGAATCTGTGCGTGTGACTATTTTTTGAAAACCTCGAGAACAAAAAGAGGCATAAACCTGCGGTTTTCACCATTGCGTAGAGCTTGGAGTCCTCTATCGAGCGACTAAGAGAAAATGAAAAACATCGACTTTTCAAGTAATGTCCATTATCAATCTTTGAAAAATGTGAACGTGTTTGCCTTAAGTCTGATAGTGGCTGATCGGTTTCAAATATGTAAAAGATAGCCCAGAGGATCCTCTACGAAATGGCGAAAGGCCGATCTCTCTAGCTATTATGGTTCAAAAATGTCACACATTTCCCTGAAGACTATACAAGTGATTTTTTTCAATAGGATTGACTAGAAATATATATAGTAAATCTCGTTGTTGATAATTGTTTACATTGTAGGGATGACTGTTTTTGGTCTCAAACAACTCTGACAAATGAAGATGGTGAACTAGACTATGCAGAAAGAGTATATATTCAAAATATGTGATTAAAATGAAAAAAAAATAAATAAACAGTGTAATATTATGACCAACATATTACAGAGTATCACATATTGACATAAGCAAACATCTAATTCTTATATACTGTATTCTTCTAATTTATGTCGTCTTTGCTATATTGCATGGGTATTCTAAGGATCCTTACAATGTTTTGAAATCGTCTTTTTAAATATAAATACTATAGTTAGCCACTACATGCATTTACACATTTACCATTGTGGTTATTGTTTATGTTGCTTCTTCAGAGAGGAGTCTTGGACCACCAAACTGTTGAAAATACAACAAATCAATATCTCTTAGAACATTAAGGCAACGTAGCAAAGACGACATAAATTAGAAGAATACAGTATATAAGAATTAGATGTTTGCTTATGTCAATATGTGATACTCTGTAATATGTTGGTCATAAGATTACACTGTTTATTTATTTTTTTTTCATTTTAATCACATATTTTGAATATATACTCTTTCTGCATAGTCTAGTTCACCATCTTCATTTGTCAGAGTTGTTTGAGACCAAAAACAGTCATCCCTACAATGTAAACAATTATCAACAACGAGATTTACTATATATATTTCTAGTCAATCCTATTGAAAAAAATCACTTGTATAGTCTTCAGGGAAATGTGTGACATTTTTGAACCATAATAGCTAGAGAGATCGGCCTTTCGCCATTTCGTAGAGGATCCTCTGGGCTATCTTTTACATATTTGAAACCGATCAGCCACTATCAGACTTAAGGCAAACACGTTCACATTTTTCAAAGATTGATAATGGACATTACTTGAAAAGTCGATGTTTTTCATTTTCTCTTAGTCGCTCGATAGAGGACTCCAAGCTCTACGCAATGGTGAAAACCGCAGGTTTATGCCTCTTTTTGTTCTCGAGGTTTTCAAAAAATAGTCACACGCACGGACTTTTTGAATGGACTATAGTTTTTAAATTCCTGACTATAGTGTATTTTATAAGGTCGGAGTAAATTGGCCAGGAGACATCGACATAGCCGTGGAAAAGAACCTCAAAGCTGTGGAGGTGATAACTTTAATTCGTAATATCGTCGTAGTTGACTTATAACATCTTAGTGAGCCCCTAAATGTGATCGGAATATACTGGTCCCGAAGTCAGCCAAGGAATCTCTAGATTATTTATCGACATGCGTAATCAATAACACAATAGTAGCTGGTGATTTTAACGCAACAATGATGGACTGGGGAAATCCAAAAGATAATAGCCGTAGAGTTATCCTAAAAAGTTGGGTTGAAGCAAATAATCTTCAATACGAAAAGAATTCATTGAATTTCTCAAGACGATCAAAAAGATATATTGATCTTCCGTTTACAAACATCAGAGATTTAAAATGAGAAAGTCTAGATTTTGGGAGCAGTGATCATTGGCCCATAGCTTACTTTTTACAATCAATATTATATCACACACATTCGTCCTTTCCGCACATGAACTGGGAAGACTGCGAAATCATGTTGTGTTCACTTCAGAAATTTTGGTTGGACCAACAAAAATCAGTGCCAATAGATGAATAGTACGTGCAATACATTCGTTTTCTAGTAGCATAAAAATATCGTGTATCCACGTGGAAAAATATGAAAAAGTCTAGGTCAGCGCTATCCACCAACATATTAAGGAAATTGAAAGAACTAAATAAAGTAAGAAATAAATATTACCGAAAAAGAAGGTATAATATAGAAAATGAAGCTAAAAGAGTTCTATTAAGAGTACTAAACAGAGAGGTACAGTCCGAGATATCACGCTACTGATCTACAAGGTGGTCAAGTTGACTCGAGAAAATTCAAAAAAAAGTAAAGTAAAAGGAGATGCAGCCTTGTGGTCGCATTTAGGAAAAATCTATAAACCAAAATCTCTCCCTTTCACCAAACTACGAGTAAAAAATGACGTTCTAACAGACAAAGATGTGACATAGCGCAAGCACTCTATAAGTGTTATGAAGAACAGGTTCAATCCTCAAAGATAAATAATACCAATCTACATGGTTCAGAAGTAGAAAAGGAATTCGGAGAGATACTAACTAGTCTATCACACTCGGCTGGATAAATAGAACGAACTAACTTAAAAGAAGTGGTGAGGACAATAAGATCTCTGAAACCCAAGAAATCCGCATGTAACACCACCATTTCTAACTTCATACTGAAGCTACTTCCACCCAGATACATACAATGTCTCTGTAATTGCTTTAACCTATGGCTAAAAGAATGCAAGTTTCCAAATAAATAGAAAATAACCAAAGTCATCACGTTGAACAAATTAAATGCAGAGATTCTCAGGAGTAACCAAATATAGTCAATATCACTACTAGCAACGCACTCAAAACTATTTGAGAAAATTTCATTAGGCAGAATAGGTGACTGAACCGAACCCAGAAATATTATCCCTAGTGAACAATCAAGATTTAGACCTAAGTGCTCAATCTCGACCAGAGTTCTGTCTATATATCAACAGGTGCTCAATAACTTGGCTGTCAACGTGCCCACTCGATCTATCTATGTAGACTATCAAGAAGCCTATGATAAAGTATGGCACGCAGCCTTAATAGTGAAACTATATTGGCTAAACATCCCAAGGAAACTGTTGAAAATGATATGGTCATGGATATCTATACGAAAAGGCTTTGTTAGCTACGGGGGAACCAACACGCAGAAATTTTCTATATCGGTTAGACTCCCACAAGAGAGTAGTCTAAGTCTGTATTTATTTATAATTTTTTACTCAGATCTTTTACACGAAACAGTAGCCTTCTCGACGCACGTATTTGCGAATGATCTAAATGTACTAATCAGAGCATCAATAGAAAAGAAATTAGAGCCAATTATGCAGTTTCTAGAACACAAAGGCACTAAAGTTTGCAATAATCTTTTTCAATGTGTCAGCAAGTGGAAACAACCGATCAATATCTCTAAAACAGTCTATCAAGTTTTTTTCACACAAGTAGAGTTACGTTTCCTAGCTATCTCAATGAACGATATCTCACTCGAATGCGTTAACGAATTCAAATATCTCGGATACATGTGGATGAGTAAGCTGTCCATGCACAAATCCATTAAAGATTGCTTCGACAAGGTTCAGCAGTCTTACATGAAACTTAAATGGTTAAAACGTACCAGAGCTATTTTCATAAGTGTTCAGAGAGAATACTTTTATGCTGTCTCTTTTCCTTTTTTTTGTTGCTTGGCTTTTTTGCCTATTCCCATTCCTCCCCAGTACGCAGCAAGAATTACTTAGACAACAATTTAGAGCAGGTTTAAGATTAGTACACCGGTAAACATGGATAGCAGCCAGAGAACTGCACGTCTTCACCGACGAAAATGATCTAGATTACTCTGTAACATGGCACATCAGGAAGAGTCTGAAAAAAATCTATAAAACAAATGTTTCAAAGTCACTCTTTTTAATGATATGTCCCTTCGAAATTATTCTAACAAAAGAAAAAACGATTTAGTAGAACATTACTTTCAGCTACGAAGGGTGAAAGAAATGAAGAATAAACCCAAATCTCTGTTACGGGCATGACTGCAATTTGTAGAAGGCAGATAGTCGATGAAACAGACAGCGTCGAACACTTAGAATTGCTAAACTCAACTACTCTTCAAATCTCATTCTTCCTTTAGTATTCCGTCCTCTTTTCCCACACTTTCTCTCTCCTCCTTGATAGTCCTACGAAGAATACACAGCTTCCAGTCATTCTTAGTCTATTCATAAAATGTAAAGTAGCAGTTTTTGTGGTAGATAACGATGTAATAAATTTTATACTATTGTATCCGTCTTCTTCCATATATATTCCTGTGCTTCCCTTTGCACCACATCCCATTTGTAAGGGAGTCAGAGTGTCAGAAATAAACCTCGCCTAAACAAAAACAAACATCATTTTTGTGTTAAGACTCTTGATTTTATAAAAGAAAATAGAATAAGAAAACTGAAATAGAATAATTTACAATACTAGCGAGGAAAGACCGGCAATTGTTCAATTGCTGTTTGCTTGCAACCTAGTGTTAGGTTTTGAAATACTTGTCATTTACAATAATGAATAAGGACCTAAGCTTTTCAACACAAAAAAAACGAGAGGAACAAGAAAAAGATAACAATAAAGAAAACAACAACAGCAAATAGGAAGAAAAACTAAAATCATAAATAGTTCACTATTTTTGTAAACATAACAACTACTACTGTAGATCATATATCTGTTCTCTCATTCAGTAAAAAAAAACAGCGTTCATATAACTGGAAAAAGGAAGCAAGAGAGGAACAAGACGAAGGATCGTTCATCTCTATATGTTATAGATGGCGATCCTGACACGTAGTGATTCACCAGTAATCCACAATGCTGATTCCGAATATCACAATGGTATGCGTCGTTACGCCTTCAGTGTCTGGTTTCTGGAAAACCAAGTTTTCTAGCTAACAAATTTTTGCGCCAAAATATTTCCTTATCTGCCCACATGAAAGAGCGCATTGAAAAACCATCAAAACATATTTAGTTTGTTGTCTGAACCATTGTTGAGAGTGCTATAATCTCTGAAATTTTCCATGTCTCAAGAATTTTAAGTAATGATGCCTTATTTGAATTTTTGGTAACTTCTTTCACTTTCAGTTGATGAAGATATAGTAGGTAACAGAGATATAGACGGTTTTGGTGGTATAGGAGACGATCGAGTGAATGAATGGTTTTGTCTCAATTTCTCGCGAACTCATTACGTACATAAAACAACAACACACAGGGCATATCGCCCAGTGTGGATGTCACAACTGCAGGCACTTGATACGATGTTCTGTGTACGTGTTGTCATTTTATGTGTATGATGAGTTCGCAAGAAATTGAAAAGAACTATACATTCACTCGATCGTCTCCTACACGGCCAATACCTCCTGTACTACCATGACATACTGTACCATTACTACCTACTATATATCTTTATTAACTGAAAGTGAAAGAAGGTCCCGAAAATTAAAATAAGACATCATACGTTTATAATCATGACACATGGCAACTTTTACAGATTGTAGCACCCTATATTTTAATAGGTTCTTTGATGTGTCCATTCACGTGGACAGATAAAAAAAACATTTTGGCACAAAACACGGCTTCGGCTGGGAAACCAGGTTTTTTAGAAAACGAATACTGGAGATCTATCGGATCGAGCCATTGTGATATTCGGAATCAGCATGGTTGATTACCTATGAATCGCTAGGTTTCGAGCAAAAATCGATTGAACGGTTGGTGAACTTCTCTTGTAAAACAAAAACAGATGTTTCTTCTTCCGTATGCATATTCGTCCAACGGATTCATTATGCCAGCAAGTATATGTACCGTTTAATTAAAATGGTGTTCGTCAAGCATAGATATATATTCGAACGAAGGCGTCAATTTCACATCGACAAATAGGACATGATCTCAATGAATGTCCACATGGTACGCATGCGACTAAATGACCACAAGGCATACAAGCCAATCGTTTTTCTTTCGTAAGACAGATCACACAAGGATTGGATGATATTGGGTAGTTTAATGAATTTTCCAGCTCAATAGCAGCTGTTGTTGACTGTAATGTTGCATCATGAACAGATTCTGATGATGATGTTGTTGTTGCTGCAGTTATGGAATATTGATAACTCGATCTATTGGTAGATGCCGATGTAGTGACATTTCTTGAATCCTGTGCTTCTACGAAAAAGAATAAAAGAAATAAGAGAAATAATGTAATAGCATCAATACCTCTAAGTTGTCTCATTCTGACACTTGGTATGACAACCTTTTCTCTATTACCCCTGATATATTGAACTTGCTTCTGAAGAATTGTACAAGCAGTGAATAGATCATCTTCCGAGACAAAATCTTGTCCTGAAAAAATTTCAAATTCAAACGATATCTGATCGAAGTTCTAGTAGTTTACCCTTGATTTGTAATTGATCCTTCCAACATCGTTTGACGATTGGTAATGTGAAATTCGTGTTTATTAATCCCTGTGATATAGGCAAATCTAATCGGGCATTGACCAATCGAGATATGGTGTCTTCATCATGTGTGGCCAATAGACTATTAATGACTACGGTATTCATATTGGATCTACTTTCAGAATTTCTCGCTCCCCATTCGTTGGATCTGGGTCGTTCTAAACACATATAAAGTAAACAAACTGATCGATAGAAAATGTTACGTTCTAAGAAAACCTTGTCGTGAACGTTGAGATTCTTGAATTTTCCTATACAAATCATCACCACATAATTGTCGAGCATAAGCACAATGAGGAAACCATCGTGCATGTTCAATCATAGGATTATCATTGGGTCCCCAGTTGCGTAATGATCCGTTGCAATAAAAACACGTGACAGTATTTTTCATACCTGTATAGAAAAACCCAGCTCGAGCAAAATCATCAACAGGTGGTAGTTTCTCATTGTGCCAGTTAGGAAATGATTTCGCACGTTCGAATACTTCAGCATATTTATCGCTACGGGAAGATTTGGGCACTATTTCATCGCAATGAAGTGAATCCATAGAAGGTAAGATACTTGTAGGAGGTACGGCTACATTTACTGTTGGACTTAGATTGGTATTATTCAAAGGTGCTGATCTATGGCACATTAATTTTGATTGTACATATCTACAATTAGGTGAAAGGATTCTATGAACTTCACATGGATCATCAATATATGGTATCCATTGTTGACAGACGAGACCACAACTGAGACATATAACACGATCACCAATATTGCAACCATAGAATCCAGCTTCATTCATTTGAGCAATGAATTGAGACGAAGAATGTGGCCAATGAGAAAATGTTCGTCGTTGCACTTGTTCTGAAGATGCGTGCTGCGACAAGGCTATGACATCAGATGTTTCATCAGCTGCTTCAACTGAAGTTGGAACATTGTCATCATCCATATTGTTGAATTGATTATCAGACATAATTGAAATAATGAATACTTGATCTCTTTTCTGGTAGCTGGATATACTTCTCACAGTTGAGAGTAGATATTGCTTGGTTCTCTCGAGACTTTTAGCAAACAGTTTAGATATGAAAATTTAATCTAAAATAGTCACACGGTGTCATTATCAGAAAAAAATCAAAAAGTAAGTTTAAATCTCGTGTCGGAATAGTCAACATCTTTACAGTATTAGAGTTTACTTTATTTTTATTTGTTTAAATATTTTGCTTGCTACAGTCCTATCAATCATATGTGGAACTGAAATTTTCATTTTCTTTTCAAAATTTTGTATATGCTGTTATTCATTCTCCATTTGATAGATATTGTGTCTATATATGACTGATGTACATGATTGCTTAGTACAGTTCATCTACAGTTTATACTATTGATATGGTTTTCTTAACAATGAACTGAAAAGAAAACAAAACAAAATAAAACAAAATGATTTGTTTTTCAGTGATCATATTAACTTGATTTTTACTTGCTCCTGTTTCATTGTAAATGGACAATTGAATGACTAATACAGGGAGAACATCATATAATACTATATTGCCATATGAAATCAATTAACTCTTTTTGTTTGTCATAAAAGAGTGAACATGAAAATGATCAAGTAGTAATAGGAAGAAAGTTATAGCTGTAATTCCTTCATATCATCACTCTATTATTTTCGTCACAATTAGATGTGTCGTACATTGTGTCAGAAAGTGTGGCACCCATTTTTAGTGTGCTGGACTCGGTTGACACAATATTTGAATGAAGATTACTGGACATGAGAGATAATTATCGTTTATTTGTGAATGAATGTAAATAATGACAAATTACAATGATAATAATAATTATGATAATTAATCACAAAATATAATAATGATCGTCATCAAACAAAATCAACAACAATAACGATTAAAACAAGAACAACACCAAGTCGCTCATTACCGACAAATCAGAACAAGAAGAAACATTAAAGAGAGCTTACCACACAAGCCAAACTCGTAGAAATATAGTTGGCGTCAAGTAGCACCATCTATTGACTCTAACATCCAATATTTAGATTATAACAAGGTATCATGATAAAAGTTTTCAATTTGGTTCCATAAACAATATAAAATTCAGCTCTTGTGCTTCTCTTCTCAGGTCAATTAATTGTCACTAATACACAGTAAACATATAGTTAGTATTGGAAATGTTATATTCATCTAAATCTTGAAAATTATTCTTATCTTAAGATTACAGCTATTATCCGATCCAAAATAAAAGGCAGGTTACAATTTTTCGAATAAATTTTAATAGAAACGAGACAAAGAGCTACGATTTTCACCATTCGAAGGAGTAATGTCCGAATCATCAATCGATATAGAACTTATTAAGACGAAAGTTGTTTTCTTAGAAGTACTTTTGGATCAACATTTTCTCGTTTCAGTATTTTTATCAATTTTCACAATCATGTCAACTCAAATTATGTCAAAATGTAGCTCAAATCACCCTTTTTCGCTATAAAACGATCACGTATTCATTATCACACAACCCCTTATTCTAAGCCGATTTTTAAAAAAGATTTTCATTTTATAGCGCAAAAAGTTTGCTAGCGCAGCCCCTTTTGTGGCTGAAATGTGGAACTCGCATATACTCTCTAGCCTCATTAAACTAATACAAAAAATACAATATGAAAAATTTCTCATAAGCTATAATTGTTTTCCGGAACAATCAATCGCTGAAGTAAAAAGTTCTCCAATTTCTGCATATCGAACAAATTTTTAAAATTTTTTTCTACAGGTACCCTATTTTTTGTTTTCATTGTTGTTATTCGCTCATTATTTTTCACTTTTTTATATTTGTTTTTCTTAGTTTATCATTTTCATTATTATAATTATTGAATTGATTAACAAATAAATGTATTTTACATATCTATGAGATCTACAGCAGATCTTATACACAATCATATATATTAATCAAGTCACAAATAATGATATTCGTTATTTTTCAAAATTATAACTTGATCAATTTTCGAAAAAAGCTTTAGAAAATCTAACATTTATTCTCGATTACTAAGGTCTGTAATGGGGAGGGAGGGCGGAGAGGCACAGCCAGCTGCGAAAACTTGACCTTAAAACTTCCACTTACTATTTTCTTCGAAAATATATGTGAATTCTACAAATGGGTGATTTGAGCTACATGTTGACGTCATTTCAGTTGAGATTATTGTGAAAATTGATGAAAACACTCAAAGAAAAAAGTGTTGTTCCATAGGTACCTACAAAAAAGCAGCTTTCATCTTAATGAGTTCTATACCTACTGATGACCTGGACACTAAGCTTTCAAATGGTGAAAATCGCATCTCTCTATCTCGTTTCTATCAAAAGTTATTCGAAAAATGGTATCCTGCCTTCTATTTTGGATCAGATAATGCAAATAATGCTGATGTATTTGCATTATTTCGTAGCAACATCATTTTATGCTAAGCATCAATATTGATTTTTCATTACTTTAATGCTATTATATATTTTTTGATTAATTATCTGCATGTTTAAAACATGCAGTTGCATATACAATACCCGACAAAAGCATCCCCCCGGAGATCTCAGTTCCTATAAGAGCTAAACGTCTGAAAATTGGTCTATAGGTAGTCCACAGAGAATGTAGATCGATGGTACCATCAGCGCCAAAATTGCTCAAGCTAGAACGAAGTTATAATAGGTGCTGCTCACTTCCATTGTGAATTTCTTAACTCGATAATAGAAAGAGCTTTTGAGTCAAGGCAATGGCTCATTTTTGTAGCCCTATATTATGGCTATTTTCGATATAAATTTTATCGAAGTCTATTGAGTTGTTGATGAGCTAGACCATTTTTACTGAAAACATGGACATACCGAAAAACAATAAAATCCCATTGAGAGGTCAATAACTCAGCAATAGTTTGATGAATCAATCTGAAATTGTTAAGAGATATTTCCCCATTAATGACTACTGCTTTCTGAAATTTTCAGAAGTAAACACTTTACTAAACGGAATTCGTGCATCGATCACGATTGTGAACTTGTCAAGACTCTAGAGTCTCCATTACCAAAGCAAATAAGCTCATCTTTGGAGCAATAAAGAATCATCAATTGAACTACAAGTTTCTGCTAAAAGATCGATAATTACTCATATATTTGATTAAAAACAGCACATAAATTTTAGTAAGGTCAATTTTAGCTATTTTCCTGCTAATATGACAAAACGTAATCGTATGTCAATATTTCACTGGGGAAATCTTTTTGAACGGTTTGAGAGATTTATGTAACAACATGAATCCTCATGCTCGAACTATCTTGAGAGTTCTTCATCAGAATTTTCAATAAAATTGTAGTATACAATCATATGGTTTTTATAAAACTCTGAGTGATCGGACCATTCGTCGCATAGACAATTCGTTGCAAATCAGTTCATTGCAAGATAATTCGTCTCAATGGCATAATCCGATCATAATTTATATCTATTTTTCAACAGTGAAGCGGCTTATTAAATTAAGTTTGAAATATATAATCCAATGACTATAAAAGTTATTGAAAATATTACTAGTGGCTAAACTTCGATTGTTGATATCGGACAGAACAATGATCTTCTTGTTTCGATAAAATAGTTTGTGTATTCGAGCTGTAGAAGTGACGAAAGTTTTTCTGTAGTAGTGAAAGAAACACTGTGCCTTTCTTTTAATTTGTACTGTAGCTGAAGGCTTCTGAAAATAGGAAAATACTTCGAAAGGATTAGCAAAATTTAGCGTTCACTAGAGAAGAGCAGCTTTGACGTCATCAAAAGAAAATCACTTAATGAATTTCTGTTTTCATATTTTTGCATTTGAACTACAAAGTCTGTTACTTTACGAGCCATCATCTGTTATTTTATAAATTTAAAACTCAACTAGTCGGCTTCAATCGATAACTTGTATAATGCCACAATTAGTTTCGATAATATCTCATAATCTCAGGCCTTTTTACATTCTAGTGACATTAATTATGAAGTAGAAAACAGATCCAATTGTTTGACTTCCTAGGATTCTTAACAGTGGCACATGTGGACATTAAAGATCAAAATCTAGCCACTAGTAATATTTTCAATAACTTTTATAGTCATTGGATTATATATTTCGAACTTAATTTAATAAACCGCTTCACTGTTGAAAAAAAGATATACATTATGATCGGATTATGCCATTGAGACGAATTATCTTGCAATGAACTGACTTGCAACGAATTGTCCATGCGACGAATGATCAGATCACTCAGAATTTTATAAAAAACCGTATGATTGTATACTACAATTTTATTGAAAATTCTGATGAAGAACTCTCAAGATAGTTCGAGCATGAGGACTCCTGTTGTTACATAAATCTCTCGAACCGTTCAAAAAGATTTCCCCAGTGAAATATTGACATACGAAGACGTTTTGTCATATTAGCAGGAAAATAGCTAAAATTGTCCTTACTAAAATTTATGTGCTGTTTTTAATCAAATATATGAGTAATTATCGATCTTTTAGCAGGAACTTGTAGTTCAATTGATGATTCTTTATTGCTCCAAAGATGAGCTTATTTGCTTTGGTAATGAAGACTCTAGAGTCTTGACAAGTTCACAATCGTGATCGATGCACGAATTCCGTTTAGTAAAGTGTTTGCTTCTGAAACTTCCAGAAAGCAGTAGTCATTAATGGGGAAATATCTCTTAAAAATTTCAGATTGATTCATCAAACTATTGCGGAGTTATTGACCTCTCAATGGGATTTTATTGTTTTTCGGTATATCTATGTTTTCAGTAAAAATGGTCTAGCTCATCAACAACTCAATAAACTTCGATAAAATTTATATCGAAAATAGCCATAATATAGGGCTACAAAATGAGCCATTGCCTCGACTCAAAAGCTCTTTCTATTATCGAGTTAAGAAATTCACAATGGAAGTGGGCAGCATCTATTATAACTTCGTTCTAGCTTGAGCAATTTTGGCGC